CCACCCCAAGCCCTTCTAATTCGGACCATCAGGATCGGGGTTAGGATTCAGGTTTAGAGTTTAGGATGTAGTGCTTGGGCAGAATCTGCACAGGAGTCTGGATGCAAAAAAGGGTTTAGGGTGGGTTTAGTTTCGTTGTCGGTAGGGAGCCCCGAAGAGCAGCATCTCCCACCAAGAAGCCTTCTCACGGTGGCACCATAGACGATCCTGCAAAAAAACGTCCAGTTGATTAACTTCGAAATCAACGTAGAATCCGCATAAATCCTAGACAGCTTGAGTCCAGCGACGTATAGCTACGTCCTACAATCCCCTCCTATCCCATCCCTAATTCCTATGCGCATGAAGCAACCCGAGGCGGAAGCGAGCACATCTAGCCCGTCCAGTCCTTCCAGTCCATCCAGGAAGTCGCGCGTCACGGTGCCCAGGGCAAGGGGTTGGCCCAGGCTCTCTGAGGATGCTTGGGGTTCGATAGAATAGGGTGGCGGGGGTGCTTTAAAAGCAAGTTAATCTGCTACTCACAGGAGCTTGAACTATGGGGCGCGTCACTCCAGGCTTCACGGGGGACTGTGACTGCATAGGTTTCTAAGGGGATGCAAGCAGGGTTGGAAAAGTTATGAAACCCAGAGCTTATGCCGCACGAAAGAAAGAAGTAAAGAACATGTGAAAGAGAGGGTGCTCTTTGGCACGATACAGGAGCCGGGACGAATGACCAAGTTGATTTATGTTTCAGAGTGGAGTGACGCGAGTCAGCTATGCGGGTGGCAAAATTACCTGGAACCCTAAAACACCTAACCCTGAAACCCTAACAACCCTAACGCTTTAAACCGATGTTGCGATCTCGGGCAGAAGGTACATGGCAGTGAACGCGGCGAGCGCAAGAGTCTTGCGAGGACCCGAGAATTTGCCACGCTCTCAGGGCTGAAGGATCTTGGGCGTTACATATGGAGTTCCCCCAAATCGGCGTACTTTTTTTCGGGAGGCCTACCAAAAGGCTAACAGTATTATTTTGGGGATATACCCTGTTTGGGGAAATGCCCATCATGTGGATGTGTGTGTGGTTTTAGGGTTTAGGGGTGCTTCGGGGTCGGACCATACCCCGTTACGGGACATGGATGCGTCAACGCTGCGAGCCCTTTAGACGCACAAAGTCCGCTGAGAGTGGCGTGTTTGCAGGAATACACAACAGTTGGCTTCAACCCGTCACTGCCCATGGACGGCCAAACCTTGTCAGGACGAGCTCGGCACGTCCTTCTCTGAGCCCCGCGCATCTCGGGTTCTTGTACGTGTGCATGTGCCGTTGCTTTGTTCTTTTGTCTCTCGCCATCTTCGCTGCCGACCTTCATAACGTAGTCGAGAACTTCAGGAAGAGGGCCTCCAGAGCTGCGCCCAGTACTGCATCGACACCCCCACGCCGCCCGAAAAGACGAAGAGGGCGGTCGTTTGGTGTTCCAGGACGGCGTGGTTTGGAAGCCTTATAGCTCAGCATGGTACTACCCATACTGGGGTTTCTTGGTGTTTCTTGCCGATCCCTCTTCTCTCAGGTCGCAGTACAAGGTCTGACACGCAGGCCATACTCAATCGAGGCCTGGAAAAGGGGGGGGGGCCGGGCCGGGGACTCTCCGCATCTTCCCACACACTGTCCGAACCCTTCATCATTATTATTATTGCTCTCGTTGTAGTATAAAAACTTTCTTGTGCTCCAGTACTTTGTACATATACTACTAGAAACCCTGAACAAGTTCAAAGAGCCACCGCGTTTCTTGCATTTTGTTGTCGTTTCAACAGACTCTCAGGCGTTCTACATGGCCCCAAACCATGACTCCCGAAGCCAGTGAAACCTTCACGTACCATTCCTGGAGAGCAGGTCAGGGGCTTGCTCTTGGGTTTAGGTTTAGGGTTTAGGGTTCAGGGTTCAGGGTTCAGGGTTCAGGGTTCAGGGTTCAGGGTTTAGGGTTTAGGGTTTAGGGTTTAGGGTTTGGAGTCTAGGGTGTTTGGTTGGGGCAAGGGCCTCGTGCAAAGCTGGTGACTCTTCAGACTCACCTGGCGTGTCTGTCCGAGATGTCGGTGAAAAGGGGGTCCTAATGGGAATCTCCAGAACGTCAAAAATCTAAAACCAAACAACCCTAACCCTAAACCCTCTGCGCTTGCGCCCGTTGTGAGAGTCGAAATCCTCAACCCGGTGAATCTGGGTCTGCATTGTTCGAGTGTAGGAGTCGGCTGAGCTGCAGGCTCCCCGCGGCCGGGCGACAAGCGCGCAAGCCAGAGTGTGCGGCAGCCGTCTCTCTCCTGCAGGGTTGAGAGGTCTTGATGGTGGCCAGATGTTGCAGACTTTCCTTTTGAAGGAAAGGCCAAGGGGGGAGATGCGACTTCGAGCTAAGAGCTCTGCAACGTCACACAAGTAGGGGTGACTCGAGTGTGCTGCCCGAAACGCCAAGAACTCAGGCAGTAGCCAGCCGTGGAAGTCCAGTGGTCAACGTCGAGGCCGGAGCCCTAAGCGTTTTTAGGCTGTTAATGTTGACCGGTCCCCTTGCCGAAGCCACTGGGATTGGATCCCTTGTGCGCATTTAAGCCAAACATTGCCTTTGACAAATTACCACTGAATGTGTAAGCACAGCAAGCCTGAATCTTCAATGTGGTCTCGCCAGGCGCCTATGCTGCGGAGTGCCCACTCGCGCTTGGGCCCATCCGGGGTGCCGGACCTTGGGAGGTTGAGGACGCTTGCGCAAGATGGTTTTGGACATGCTCGGCGATTCTACGATGGTCTGCTGCCTCAGCCCGGATCTTCAGAATTGCCGCGGCCTGCTCGGGTTGCCGTGCTTGCCGACACCAAGCTGCTCATGCTGCTCTCAAGCGCATGGTGTTCTGCTCCAGCTCCGACGACATTCTTCTAGGAGTTTCTCTGAGGTTACGGAAGCCTTCGATAGGCATCGCCAGACAGCCACTTCCGTGCAGAGAGAGGCCGAAGGAAACTAACTGCTCGGAGCCACCTGGCCTCTCCTCATATCTTCCTGGCGAATTCGACAGGAAGACTGTACATACGACGACCTAAGTTGGATGTCCAATCGCACCTTGCGTTCTTCACCTGCTCTGCCTGGCGCGGAGTAAAGAGAAGATCCGATGTCAAGCTCGAACTTCTGCAGTTTCCAGCGTCTTACCCTTGGAGTTGAACTTCGGTTACAGGATGATTGGGCCTATAACCCTATTTCCGAACATGAAAGGGTGAAGAGGGCTTCTTCTGTCTTGCATCTTCCAGAGAAGGCTGGGCGACTTGCTCAACCTCACGGTGGAGCCATCGCAGCTGGATCCCTTGCCACCCGGCATGGATTTTGGGGGGAGGATGGCTTGAGAGATGCCAAGGTCATCTGGTCACTTCTCTAAATCAGGGTCCCTTTTGGGAGTAATCTTCTAGGGCGGCCTCTAATATCTAGGGTACCCAAAAAGGGACCATTGAGAAATGACCATCTAGACTGGCCATCAAAGGATCAGGTTTGAGGATTTTCTGGAGAGCCTTGCAAGTACACTTTCCATCTGGTTGAGTGCAGGCCCCCGGACGTGCCAAACTACGCGGGGAACCGAGTGTGGATCTGATGGCCGGCAGACATCTCCTCCACCACCCCAAACCCCAAACCCCAAACCCCAAACCCTAAACCCCAAACCCCAAACCCCAAACCCCAAACCCTAAACCCTAAACCCGAATCATCACTGATGCGGAAGGTGGCTGTTGCCTGACATTGAGGTGCAGGTGGTGCGCACCTCCAAGAATGGCGGCGAACGGCTGAAGGCCCGGGATTTTCTGTCCTGCGCTTGTTGTGGCAAGATCAGTGATGATTAGGGTTTAGGGTTTAGGGTTTAGGGTTTAGGGTTTAGGGTTTAGGGTTTAGGGTTTAGGGTTTAGGGTTTAGGGGTTTAGGGTTTAGGGTTTAGGGTTTAGGGTTTAGATGCAAAAGGGGTTTAGGGAGCTGCTCCTGCAGCTCAGACTGGAGCCCCAAAGACTTTGAGGTGAACTCCACTTCAATGCGGAATATTCCCTTCAATTATATACTTACTTCTCCAACAGCTGAACTTTAAACTTTTTGGGTTCCCTTATTTGGTAGGAATTAATAAAGTTTAACCTTTTTTCCCCTTGGTTATTGGAGAAGTAAGTATAGGGATCCGTACTATGACTTCAGGTCTATTCCTTCATAAAGGGGGTGTTGGGTTCTCTGGGGTGATACCTTGAACTTGTTCAGCCACCGTGCTCTTCGATGGCGGAGGTGCTGCAGTCTCTAGCGCTCCAAGACAACATCGCGCCGCCCGGTAGCTCCAAGATCGTCCTGGACCGCTCTCCCACGCCTTGAGGGACTTGTAGGAACTCTGGGGTGTCTTCTGAAGCACCTTAATTCTATGGGTGTAGGGTTAAGGGTTGGGTTTAGCGGTTAGGGTTTAGGGTTTCTATAGAGTTTAGGGCGATGCAGCGGAGAACGGGGTGAACCCCACCCAGTCATCTTCAGCGCACCTCCGATCACACCTTCGTCTGAAAGCGCACCGATGATTCGCTCCAGGAGCCAACTGTGCGCCCGGTGCCCAGCAAAGGGTTGAAACCATGAAGCCAGGGGGCCGGTTGGGCAGATTTAGGGTTTACAAGAGGGATTAGGGCTTAGGGCTTCGGGCTTCGGGCTTCGGGTTTCAGCGGGTTTACGAAGCTTATGAAGTTGAGGGAATGTGCTTGTCAGGGCACATGCGGCGAGTAATGGCGAGTAATTCTGAGCAATTGAAAGCTCCCACATTTTGGACGAGAGGGGTTAGGGTTTAGCCGGTTTGGCCGGCAAAAAAAGCGTTTCGGGCTCAGGGCTTCGGTAAAGGCAGGTTTCAAGGACTTGGAGCCTCCCAGCCATCGCCAGCCGAAACCGTGGAAGACGAGTTTTTTTCGGGATCTCGGTGGATTCCGGACGTTAGTCCGAGAGGGAGATTTTAACGTCTTTCGTTAGGGCTTCGGGGCTCGGATGTTGACATGCGCGTGCATGGAGCGAGGCTTTCAGACCTTCCTGGGCTTCGGTGGCAGCTTCACCGAGTCTTCGGCGGAGCTCCTTCAGAAGATGAAGCCGCACCAGCAGGCCACATGAATGACATTCCGGAGCGAACTCCAGGGTGTATTTGGGTCTCGAAAACTCCTCTTCTAGGAGTTTGAGAAGCCTTTACGTAGGCGTTATAAGCCTTTAAGGTTGGACATCCTATACAAGTACGGCGCCAGAGTTCTTGCATATGTACCGGCCCTCAACCCTAGCTCGAGTCCCTCCCTTAGCAGTAAAGTCCAGCCCTAAACCCTAAACCCTGAACCCTAAACCCTAAACCCTAAACCCAAGTCGGCCTCCAGTCTGCCCCTGCCCCCCCCCCCCCCCCCAGCCCCCTTCGTCTCCAGGAGCAGGTCATCGAGGCCTACTTTAGCCAGGCCCCAATTCCCAGGGGGCTTGGGGGTTTTTGGGAGCTGGGTGTCAAGGGTTTGGTGTTGCTCGTGGGTTTGGGGTTTAGGTTTTGGGTTTTAGAATTTTTAGGCTTTGAGATTCAGAGGCTCAGGGGGTGTTCCGGCACAGCAATAGAAAGTCACGCGGCGTTGCCGTATTTACTGGCCTGAGGCTTGCCTGTCATCTGAAAGTGAAAAAAGTTTGGGTCCAGCTTTACGTTTCCAACCTCTCAAGTTATGTTGAAGCCCTAAACCCTAAACCCTAAACCCTAAACCCTAAACCCTAAACCCTAAACCCTAAACCCTAAACCCTAAACCCTGAACCCTCTGTGCGAGAGTCGAAACCCCTCTGTGCCAGGAGAAAGGCATTGCCTACTCCTGGGGCCGCATCCACATGGGAGCTGGCCTCGGTTAAGCATCAAAGCCTTAGTAGTAGAGTAGGTAACCTTTAACCTTTTTGGGGTAATATATTCCCCTTATAATCCCAAAGGTTAGCCTTTAAAACCCCTAGGTACTGGACAACTAAGAAGCTAAGCGTCTCAGATGACCCGAACTTTTGCAAGTGCCAGGGAGTCTTAGGGTTTAGAGTTTATGGGTTTAGGGTTTTGGGTTGTGGGCTATGGCAATCCGAGCATCTGTTAGCAAACTCAACATCAGCTGCATTTGTTGTCCTTTTTGTGCTGATGAAGCAAGGTGCCTGCGACTTTTCCAGGCCTTGGAGATGCTCTGCTAGCACGAACCACACAGCATGAGACCTGGGAAAGGCAAAGGATTTAGGGGCTTAGGGGCTTAGGGGTTTAGGGTTGAGGGTTTTGGGCTTTATAGCTGCTTGAGACGTGTTCAAGGGAGACTTTGGATGTTGGAGTCTGGAGTGTTCGAGAAATTCTCAGCACGCGGCCATGCAACGTCACATTGGCAGGGGAAACTGGAGCTGTGTCGAGCAAGAAAATGTGAGACCCTCAGTGCTTGGCTTCCTAGGCAGTTCGAAGTAGGGTTATACGTATGGCAACTAAACCTATTAACCCCACCTAGGGTACCTATACAACCCTACTTCTAACTGAACATCCAAGTTCATCTTGCTTCAGAGAGTAGAGAAGCGTAGCTCTAGCGTCGAAGGTGTGCTTGGGCAAAGTAGCGGCTTTGGGCGCCCAGAAGTTCTATGATGACCCAAAGAGCCCAATATCCCATAAGTAAGGAATATATACCCTCAAACTTTATAGGGATCCTGAATCTGATTTAAGGTATAATCCTTGGGGGGTATTGGGCTGTCTGGGACACCAAGGACAAGGAGCTGAAGAGCTTCAGCATCGAACGCTACCGGGCAGCCATGCTGCCCATGATCAAGCGCGCGCAGGAGGTCCAAGGGTGAAGGTTTGGGAGGGGAAAAGGTTTTATGGGCCAAAAAGGGCTGAAATAGGGGATGTTTAGGGGTTAGGGTCTTTAGGGTAGCTTCAGATCGAAAAGCCTCCTCAAACCAGAACTTGAGAACGCTATAAGCTCTAAAAAACCCCTGACCCCTCGACACCCTCCACGATTGGAGGTGGCCTCACGGCCCCTGCAGCTGATCGCTTCCCCATGGAGCCCGCCGGCCTGGATGAAGGACGAGCATCCCCCAAACTTCAAAATTGGGGGGGGGGGGGGGGGAAGGGTTTAGGCTTCAGGGGTCCTGTTCATAAACGGCTGCCCGAAGAGGATCCGTAACTGTTCGAGCAACCACCGCAGGCGAGGGAGCAGCTCTTGGGGGGGTCTGGGAAGGATGTTTCTGTTTTGCTGCCTACTTGGAGGTTCATGGATAGTTATAAGTACAGGTAATTATACTGTTCACCCCACTTAGGGTGCTTATTATAACCCTCTTCATAACCACTCATGCACCAAGTAGGGGCTCCAAAGAGGGAGCCAAACCCGTTGCAACTGGATGGCATGTTGCTGGGTGAGGTCATCAGATCTGCTCAGGAAACTCGGAAGGGTGTGCAAGAAGTGAGCCCTGAAGCGAACTGAGGACACCGGGCGCATGCAAGGCGGCGGCACCCTGAAGGATGACTTCAAGCTGGGCGACCCAGAGGGTCCATGGTCGCTTCGAGAGTCGCCACCAGAGGCATCGGCTGGCCAAGTCCGTGAGTATCAGCCGGCAAAGCCCGTGCCTCACGAGCATTAGCTGGCAAACCCGTGAGCATCAGTTGGCAAAGCCCGCGCATCATGAGCATCAGCTGGCAAAGCCCCTGAGCATCAGCCGGCAAGGCCCGCGCATCATGAGCATCAGCTGGCAAAGCCCGTGAGCATCAGCCGGCAAGGCCCGCGCATCATGAGCATCAGCTGGCAAAGCCCGTGAGCATCAGCCGGCAAAGCCCACGCATCATGAGCATCAGCTGGCAAAGCCCGTGAGCATCAGCCGGCAAGGCCCGCGCATCATGAGCATCAGCTGGCAAAGCCCCTGAGCATCAGGGCAAAGCCCGCGCATCATGGGCATCAGCTGGCAAAACCCGTGAGCATCAGCCGGCAAGGCCCGCGCATCATGAGCATCAGCTGGCAAAGCCCGTGAGCATCAGCCGGCAAGGCCCGCGCATCATGAGCATCAGCTGGCAAAGCCCCTGAGCATCAGCCGGCAAAGCCCGCGCATCATGAGCATCAGCTGGCAAAACCCGTGAGCATCAGCCGGCAAGTCCCGCGCATCATGAGCATCAGCTGGCAAAGCCCCTGAGCATCAGCCGGCAAGGCCCGCGCATCATGAGCATTCGCTGGCAAAGCCCGTGAGCATCAGCCGGCAAGGCCCGCGCATCATGAGCATCAGCTGGCAAAGCCCGTGAGCATCAGCCGGCAAGGTCCGCGCATCATGAGCATCAGCTGGCAAAGCCCCTGCGCATCAGCCGGCAAAGCCCGCGCATCATGAGCATCAGCTGGCAAAACCCGTGAGCATCAGCCGGCAAGGCCCACGCATCATGAGCATTCGCTGGCAAAGCCCCTGAGCATCAGCCGGCAAGGCCCACGCATCATGCGCATTCGCTGGCAAAGCCCGTGAGCATCAGCCGGCAAGGCTCGCGCATCATGAGCATCAGCTGGCAAAGCCCCTGAGCATCAGCCGGCAAAGCCTGCGCATCATGAGCATCAGCTGGCAAAGCCCGTGAGCATCAGCCGGCAAGGCCCGCGCATCATGAGCATCAGCTGGCAAAGCCCCTGAGCATCAGCAGGCAAGGCCCACGCATCATGACCCGGCAAGGCCCGAGCCCGTGAGCATCAGCCGGCAAGGCCCGCGCATCATGAGCATCAGCTGGCAAAGCACCTGAGCATCAGCCGCCAAGGCCCACGCATCATGAGCATTCGCTGGCAAACCTGTGAGCATCAGTCGGCAACGCCCGCGCATCATGAGCATCAGCGGGTAAAGCCCGTGAGCAAAGCCCCTGAGCATCAGCCGGCAAGGCCGCATCATGAGCATTAGCTGGCAAAGCCCGTGAGCATCAGCCGGCAAGGCCCCCGCATCATGAGCATCAGCTGGCACAGCCCGTGAGCATCAGCCGGCAAGGCCCACGCATCATGAGCATTCGCTGGCAAAAGCCCCTGAGCATCAGCCGGCAAGGCCCGCGTATCATGAGCATTCGCTGGCAAAGCCCGTGAGCATCAGCCGGCAAAGCCCGCGCATCACGAGCATCAGCTGGCAAAGCCCCTGAGCATCAGCCGGCAAGGCCCGCGCATCATGAGCATTCGCTGGCAAAGAGCGTGAGCATCAGCCGGCAAGGCCCGCGCATCATGAGCATTCGCTGGCAAAGCCCGTGAGCATCAGCCGGCAAGGCCCGCGCATCATGAGCATCAGCTGGCAAAGCCCGTGAGCATCAGCCGGCAAGGCCGCGCATCATGAGCATCAGCTGGCAAAGCCCGTGAGCATCAGGCGGCAAGGCCCGCGCATCATGAGCATTCGCCGGCAAAGCCCCTGAGCATCAGCCGGCAAGGCCCGCGCATCATGAGCATCAGCTGGCAAAGCCCCTGAGCATCAGCCGGCAAGGCCCGCGCATCATGAGCATTCGCTTGCAACATTCGCTTGCAAAGCCCGTGTGCATCAGCCGGCAAGGCCCGCGCATCATGAGCATCAGCTGGCAAAGCCCGTGAGCATTAGCCGGCAAGGCCTGCGCGTCATGAGCATTCGCTTGCAAAGCCCGTGAGCATCAGCCGGCAAGGCCCGCGCATCATGAGCATCAGCTGGCAAAGCCCGTGAGCATCAGCCGGCAAGGCCCGCGCATCATGAGCATCAGCTGGCAAAGCCCGTGAGCATCAGCCGGCAAGGCCCGCGCATCATGAGCATCACATCAGCTGGCAAAGCCCGTGAGCATCAGGCGGCAAGGCCCGCGCATCATGAGCATCAGCTGGCAAAGCCCCTGAGCATCAGCCGGCAAGGCCCGCGCATCATGAGCATCAGCTGGCAAAGCCCGTGAGCATCAGCCGGCAAGGCCCGCGCATCATGAGCATTCGCTTGCAAAGCCCGTGAGTATCAGCCGGCAAGGCCCGCGCATCATGAGCATCAGCTGGCAAAGCCCGTGAGCATCAGGCGGCAAGGCCCGCGCATCATGAGCATCAGCTGGCAAAGCCCCTGAGCATCAGCCGGCAAGGCCCGCGCATCATGAGCATTCGCTTGCAAAGCCCGTGAGCATCAGCCAGCAAAGCCCGCGCTTCATGAGCATCAGCTTGGTGGCTTCGTGAGTCGCCACCAAAGTCGCAAGCAAATGTCTACACCTCTCAACTTCAGACCCAAACCCTGAAACCCGAAAACCCCCGCAAAAGACCTCAAAATCCTAAACCCGAGAAACCATAAAACCTTTCAGCCTGAACCCCAGACACCCTAAGGGTGACCACAACCTTCTGAGGTTGGCCCTAAACCCTACACCCTAAACCCCAAACCCTCAACCGTAAACCCCAAACTCCAAACCCTAATATCTGCCATTAGCCAAGCAAAGCCCCATAGAGTCGATGGCCAGACGGGGTGACAAAAAAAGCCACCCAATCCCCGAATAGCGTGGGTTTTTCGGGTTGAGGGTTTAGGGGTTCAGGGTAACATGAAAACAGCCCTAAAGACTATGAAACCCGAAAAACCCTAAACAGCAGTTTCCTTCCCCACCTCGAACTCCTGAGCAAAAAATCTCCCAGAATCTCTCCAGCCCTCCCCCTGAAACCTAAACCCTACCTCTTTGTCCCGAGGCCTGCTTGGGCACAGCACTTCCTGCGCTTTGCGCAGGCCTTTAAGGAGGAAGGCGCCCCCCTTTGGGGCTTCACTGCCGGGGGGCCTGGAATGTACATAGGAGTCGGAAAAATCACCCCTATGGGTTCTTTACAATAAGCCCTAAACCCTAAGCCCTATTCTAATTGTTAAGGCCCCTATATTCGGGCATTTGAGGGCTTCAGACCTCGAGCCCCGCGGTTGTTTAGGCCGTCTTTTCCCGAGCCTTCCGGAAGGTGCGTTCAAAACTGCACGCTTTTAGGGTTTAGGGTTTAGGGTTTAGGGTTTAGGGTTTAGGGTTTAGGGTTTAGGGCTGCCCTTCAAGTGCCCTGAGCTTCCCTGCATGGGCCCCAGGTCCAGAACGAGCCTCACGCGCTTCCGCCTCGGTTCAGGGCCCTCTTGGGTCAGAAGGGGTTCTTTAGAGGGTTTAGGGTTTAGGGTTTAGGGTTTAGGGTTTAGGGTTTAGGGTTTAGGGTTTAGGGTTTAGGGGGGGAGTTCTGTAGAGTGTTTAGGGTTTGGGGGTTTGGGGGGGTTTAAGTCGACGCTAAGTCCCCTAAACACTCAAGAGGAAGAAGAGTCCCTACACTTTAAACCCAAACCCCTAAACCCTAAACCCTAAACCCTAAACCCTACACCACTTCTGGCTCCCAAAGATGGGTTGCCAAGTCCCGGTCGGCCCGAAACTGCGCACGCAGGTTTCGGCACATGGGAGTTCGAATTTTTGAGGGGTAGCATGTAGGGTTTAGGGTTTAGGGTTTAGGGTATAGGGTTTAGGGTTTAGGGTTTAGGGTTTAGGGTTTAGGGCTTGAGTTGCATAAACAGCAGCCCATAGGCAGACACCCCTTAGCCCTGGCCACCAGGCCCCACAAACTTGCACTCTTTTCGGGTTTAGGGTTTAGGGTTTAGGGTTTAGGGTTTAGGGTTTGGGGCTTCAGGACTACGCCCTGGGAGAATTGCCTCTACAATGGGGAGATGGAGCGGGACTTCGTCCGGGACCACCTCGGGCCCGTCCTGGAGGTTGGGTTCAGGGCCTTGAGGGCTGAGGCTTGTGCACCGGTGAATTCCTGAAGTCTTGTTGAACACAGGTTGATAGAGATGGCCGCCGTGGACCCCAAACCCCAAGCCCTAAACCCTATAAACCCCATTCCCAATCACTAGTTCTTAGCAGAACCTCGGAACAGACAGGCCGAATTGGGGCTTTCAAGGCGCCCTACCCGAATTTTCAGGGTTCTGTCGGATATCTCGAAGCCTGGCTTGCTGTGCTCGTGGGCATCATGGTCTGAATGTTGAAGTCTGAGGGTTTAGGGTTCAGGGCTTGGGATTTATCTTTGAAATCCTTCTTTGTGAAGGCCAGTGGTCTAGATCTCAAGCTCCTCGTTTGGGACCACAACCGCCTCTTGGGCTTCACATGTTCTAAGAAATATTCAATATACCCCTTGGGCATACCTCGGGATCTTCCTCCTTATGCTAACAGTCCTTCATAGGGGTTTTGTAGTAAAGTCCCGATTAAGCACTACTAGGGTAAGGGGGAACATCCCAAGGCATACCCTTGCAGGAAAAAAAGGGGAATGGTCAAAACCTCCCTTGGGCTCTCCTATAGTCTTCTTTTATAGGTTAAGGGTAGTGCAGGGGTCGGAATAATTACCAATGATATTCCTTTATGGTCCGTCCCTTTACCCCTCCCCCCCCCCCCCGCAAAACCCTGTTCTAGTTTGTAAGGCTCCTGCAGAATGGGTTTCGGGTACGGTTCCTTTTTGACTTCGGGTCCAGGGACAGACTCAAAACACTGGGGATGTTTGATAAAGAATGGTCCTTTTACAACTATTGCCATTATAGATAATAAAGAGATGTCCTTAGGAATCCTTGGTAGCCCAGTCATGACCGTTCGCCCGTGTTTTGGTTCTCGGTTCCCTTGTAAAGCAACCCCAAGAAGGTACCCTTCTCATAATAGGGTTAGATCTCTCGTCATGCCACCCACCTTACCTTGTTCTCCAAATTTCTGATTCGTTGTTCTCTCGGTGGGCTCGCCTTCAGCTGGAAATCTGTACACTTGGGGTCCCTGGCTCTTCGCAAAAACCCTCACGCAGACTCGGACTTTACCCAGGTGACGAGATGTACGCTCGCGCGCGGCGACCTCGGCCGCAAACTTCCTCCAGTTTCGGGACTGAGGCTCCTGAGGCTCTGGAGGTCTTTCGCCACGAAAAAGACAAGAACTCTCTTCCAAGAACCGAACGCATACTTACCAAAATCACGCAGATCCCGGGTCTACCATACACGTCCGCCTCCCTAAACCGTAAAACGTTCAGCCCTAAACAAGCCTAAGCCGCAACCCTAGGCCAGAATCAGAGGCAGAACCTGGGCGCGCCATGCATGTCCTTCTTTTGCTGCCGAGGCACACCATCTACAACGATCCGGAGGCCGCCAAATACATTTGGGGGTGTGGGCCCCAGTGCCGTGAAGTCCGTTGGGATGCAGCTTGATGGATGTTGAAGCTACAAGGAATGATATTAATCACAAGTATTTGCGTCGCTGAGTAGTGCCATGTCCTGTGTCGAACCACCGCATCCAGGTCTGAAGGGCCGGAGCCGAATTTCGGAATGATTGTGTGAAAGTTAGTCAGGACGCGAATTGTGAACGAGTGGGTGAAGCTGCTCAGCCAGGGATGCCACAGAGGATTCTGCGAACAAAGGTGTCCATAAGTTTCTGCACGATCAGCCAACATGTTCCGGAAGCAGCGCAGTAATCCATACAGGTATCATCCATCCTCACACCCGTCCAGCCATTCAGCCGTCCAGCCACTCATCTGAAAAATGCTGCTTGCAACCGAAAGCAAGCACATCAACTGATCGACACCATGCATAAAACCCACAGAAGACATTCATTTCCAGAGGGCCCACCGGCCCCAGAAACCTTGTTCAAAAGCCAGAAGTAGCATGGCTGTTGCACACAAAGGATCGGGTACCATTGGTATGGTGATCCGCGCTACGAATTCTGGCCCGCAAGAGAAGGCACTGCGCTTGTGCGATCGTGCTCGGGCTAACGGGCCGTTTACATATGAAGCAGGGCACATATGCATATACATGAAAATAGGTATCCTTTTGGGGATACTGGTAGTAAAACCAACTTTTTAAGGTGATAAACCTGCACCCTGAACCCCATCATCTGCCGGGAGGGATGTTGTGAGTCTGCCGGTGTGTTATTGCAGCGCGGCCCTGTAGATGACCCTAAACCCCAAATCCCAAATCCCGAAACCCTAAACCCTAAACCCTGCGTGTTCTAGCTGCTCTGCGTATATCTTAGCATGGGGGACTCTAGCTTCGAGAGCCGCCTGCAGATGTCTCAAACCAAACAAGGATGTCCAGCAGTGCCCTTGTTCCCTTTTTGGGGAGAGGGCTTCGGGTTGGGGTTTATGCAGAAGGGCTGCATCCCCGCTCAACCCCTCCCTCCACCCCCCACCCGGCCCTTCATTTTGAGGTCGCTGGGTTCGACATGGAGTCAAAACCCTTGGAGAGTCCAAAGCTAGCCCCCCGCCCTCCATAATCATCTTAAAAAGCAGGGTTTAGGGTTTAAGGGTTTAGGGTTGGTACCAGAGGAGAGGGGATAAATGAAAGGCTGGGAGCCAGGACCTTGTATGCAATGACTGCGGCCCTGCACAGGCATGACGCTCTTCGACAATGCCGGTGCCCCCAGAGCCCTTAGTATACACACATACATAGAATAATTATATATATATATACATATGTACAAAGATATGTATGTGTAGTATATATATCTATGTATATATATATATAGACATACATATTTAGGTCAAGAGTCAAGAGCCTTCAACATGCGGGCTTCAGGGCCTTCCAGGCTTGAAGCCCTAGCTGCCACAGGTCCGGAAGGTGCACGAGCTCCGGCCGGACAAGCACATCATCATGACGGAAGCATGCCAGGACCGAGGGCCGCCACAAAGTGCAGGGAGGGTTTTCGGAGGGCTGAGGCCTGGCCCCCCATCTTGAAAATAGTTGTGGCGTGTAGACTTTACAAGTAGCACCCCTAGACCTACGTACCCTAAACTGCAGTGCTGAGGCTAGACGGGTTTAGGGTTTGGGATTTAGGGTTCCGAGGAGTCCAGTTGCAAAAAGGGTTTAGGGTTTAGGACGGGTGGCCAAAAAAAAAGCCTAAACCCTAAGCCGCCCAACGAAGAGCTTCTCAGGAGACTGGCCCTCGCATTGGAGACTGGCAGCTCGGGGAGCGGTATGCGGAGGCCATCATCAAGGACGCGCCTGGATCTACGAATTGCTTAGGAACCCCATAAACCCTAGAGTCGAAACCCTTGAACCCTAACCCCTTATAGTAGCAAGATAGGGAGCTTGTAAGCTCTAGGCCCTAGTCTTAACACTTGGGGGTAAGGAGCCACTCAGTAGCCTGGGGCCGCAGCCAAAGCCCCTACAAACCTACGGGGGGGGGGTGGGGGGGGGGGGGGGGGGGGGGGGGGGGGGGGGGGGGGGGGGTGGGGGGGGGGGGGGGGGGTGGGGGGGTTGGTCTAGGGTTTTTGGGGTTTACGAGGCGCCGGCTCAAACAAAGGGCTGTTGAGGGTAAGGTTGCAATGTGGTGGCGACATGTCCCTGCCTGTTTTTTCTTGGCCCCAAACCTCTGTCGCTAGGATCCGATTTCTGGCCTTTAGCACGATAGCCCTTCTCCTTTCAACATGGCTTGTTTACTATAGTTACTAAACCTCCGAGGTCCAGGCAACGCTGTCGGGACAAATTTAACTCACCTCACACCCTAATCGATTCGATAGTCCCCAAACGGCCCCGGCCCTAGAGCCCCCTGGAGCCCCTCCCTGTAACCTAACTCCCTAAAGCCCTAAACCCTAAAACTCCACTCCCAAACCCGAAGCCCGAAGTCCGAAACCCTGGCCCTAAGCCTAAACCCTAAACACCCCAAAAACCTTAAACCCTAAACCCTAGCCCTAAACCCTAAACCCTAACTCCTGACAACCTAAACCACCCCGTACAGCGCAGGACCTTGAGAGTTGGCTCGAGGCCTGGATCGACTGGAACTTGATCCTGGACACCAGAAGCTGCTTAAGGGCCTTGGGTTACTGAGGGGCCTTTAGGGTTTAGGGTTTAGGGTTTAGGGTTTAGGGTTTAGGGTTTAGGGTTTAGGGTTTAGGGTTTAGGGTTTAGGGTTTAGGGTTTAGGGTTTAGGGTTTAGGGTTTAGGGGCCTTTAGGGTTTAGGATTGGCTTTTAGGGCTTCAGGGGTACGCAAGCGCTTTACGAGGCGGGCTTGTTAAAGGCTTCGAGGGTCCCGCGGAGCCAAGCTAAGAACGCAGACTGAAGTTGCTCCTCTCGACCTCTCGACTCAAGTGCCTCAAGGAGGGCTATAAGGAACTAAACAAACTTATCATCATGCAAGGGCTACATAGGTACATAAAGGGACTACACAAGGTCTATATAGGGGGTTCTGTAGGAGAACAACATGAAGGGTCCCTTCTTAGGAGTCCCTCCTTACTTAGTAGTAGAGTAGGTAACCTTTAACCTTTTTGGGGTAATATATTCCCCTTATAATCCCAAAGGTTAACCTTTAAAACCCCTAGGTACTGGACAACTAAGCTTATGTCCCTGCATGGTTGCCCTAAACCCTAAACCCTAAACCCTAAACCCTAAACTTGCTGTGCCTGCGAGGACGAAAGGGGCGGCCCGAACCATGTGCAGAACCTGGTGTCGGCCCTTTGGCCTTAACACTGCTTCGTAGTAGTAGCCCTAAACCCTAAACCCTAAACCCTAAACCCTAAACCCTAAACCCTAAACCCCTAGCAGCAGCAGTTGTGCAGTTGTGGGTAGTAGTAGTCGGGAACGCGGGTGGGGTACCCGGTACAGTCCCGCTTCAAGCGCCATACTTTTCAGGATTTAAGGTGTGTGGGAGTCTGGCTTGCCTTCAATCCAGTAGCAAAAAAGGGTTTCAGGTTAATCATGCAGCCAAGGGTTCGCACGCATTTGCAACATTCGGTTTGCCCTGAGACAGGTGAGGCTCTTAGATATTTCTCTAAGACAGTAGGCTCACATCGACAAGCAACCATGCAGCTCTAAACCCATAACCACAGGGACAGTTCCAAATTCTGACTCCTGTGGGGGTTGAGTTCGCCAGTGCAGATCCTAAGCCCATAAGGCGCCAATGATTTTCGACACGGAACGAGCCAGAGACTCAGCTGTTTAGGGTTTTAGAGTTGCGGGGTTTCACGGGGTCTGGGTTTCAGGGTGTAGGAAGAGTGTCGGGTTTTTGTGGGGCGAACGCATACCATAGCTTTGTATGAACGTGGGTGCTTAGGATCTGGTGCCGCAAAGAGCCCTAAACCCTAAACCCTAAACCCTAAACCCTAAACCCTAAACCCTAAACCCTAAACCCTAAACCCTAAACCCTAAACCCTAAACCCTAAACCCTAAACCCTAAACCCTAAACCCTAAACCCTAAACCCTAAACCCTAACACTAAACCCTAAACCCTAAACCCTAAACCCTAAACCCTAAACCCTAAACCCTAAACCCTAAACCCTAAACCCTAAACCCTAAACCCTAAACCCTAAACCCTAAACCCTAAACCCTAAACCCTAAATCCTAAACCCTAAACCCTAAACCCTAAAACCCTAAACCCTCAACCCTAAACCCTAAACCCTAGGTTTGTGGGGGGCAGGGGTGTTGCACAGGCGCTAGGCGCCAAGATGTGATTGGCATTAGACATTCCAGCACGGAGCGACTCAGAGAGAGCCAGAGAGATCTGCATACGTATAGTACATATATAGATATAGATATAGATATATGTATTACATATATATATATATATGTGTAAAGAGAGAGAGAGAGAGAGAGAGAGAGAGAGAGAGAGAGTGTGTGTGTGTGTAAGAGGGACAAGCACTGTTGCGGAGTCTCCTAGATTCCCTGACCGCCTGACACACACACACACACACACGGGGGACAGACAGACTCCTCTCTGGACCTGGAAGGGAAAGCTGCTGTACCTCTCGTCGTTCTACTACATTGGCCAGTTCTCGTCAACTCCCCAGACTGCTGTGCTGCACAGGTGGTCGCCTGTCTAGGCAAACAGCCAAGGGCGTGCATTTAGTAAGTCCTCGTCGGAAAAAAACCCAAATCTGTATCCCGAAAACCTCTAACCCCATATCCTTGAAAGGCAAACTGGAAATCCTCTGCAGCGCAAAAAGAGCACACCCCCGACAAGACATCCTGGTTTTCTTGATTCGGTCGAAGCCTGACGTGCCCCCCACCTGAGGCGGTATATCAAACCCGGGGCGCAGCGCATCTCCACGAGCAGCAGCCGGGATAAGCTGGAGGCACACCCAGATGGACCGAGGCTGATGTGAATGTGGATCTAGGGTGGGGGACTGGGAATGCTTAAGGGTCTATATGGGTTTAGGGTTTAGCGATATCCATATGCCTGACTATTGCCATGTCGCTGACACTGCTGACATGCTGTGCTGGACACTGCACCATCCGGTCATGACCTGTATGGCGAAAGTGTGGGACCATTGGAGTCAGCCCTCTTAACACTAGATCCTAGAAGAAACAGCCTCCACCACCAACCTTGTCCGAGTCCGCAGAACCCCTGAGCGACTAACCCTATAAGGGTTTAGGGTTTAGGGTTTAGGGTTAAAGCCCTAAACCCATCTGAGACCCGAAGCCAAGCCAGGCGACCGGCTTCGTGAATCCCGATGGATCCGTGGTGGCGGTAGTCCTCAATCAGGCCGCTCTTCCGCCCATCTACCATAGGGTTTGGGTTTAGGGTTTAGGGTTTAGGGTTTAGGGTTTAGGGTTTAGGGTTTAGGGTATTTGATTAAGAACCCATCCCCTTGTTCCCCTTTTAGGGAAGAATATTGGTGATTTTAGGGGCTTCTTAAGCAAACGGTAGCCATTCGTGGAGGGGTGTGAAGGACTTACCCAAAGAGCCCCATACCCCTTGAGTAAGGAACATATACCTTAAATGACATCAAGGATCCCTTTCTGATTTACGAAAATAGTCCTTAATTAAGGGCTACTGGGCCATCTGGAGTGCAGTGAAAGACTCCAATCGCACGCTTTCGGTTTCTTGGTGGGATCTTTGACGCCGTGATGTAACGCCCATGTGGAAAGTAAGTAGTCCGTAGGCCAGGGCCCCAACAGTTGGTTTTGGGGCCCAGAGCTGCACGGTTTGGGGGTTTAAGGTTTAGGGCCAAGTTTAGGGTCTAAAGTCTTTCAGCCGACCTCTTCAACAGAGACCCCGAAGGTCGAAGACCCGCAGCACTTTTCCAAGTTCATTTCTTTGTTGGTTCCTCTTACTTGGGGTACCCAAAGAAAGGACCATAATGTAGAGAGCTCACCACAAGCCCTTGAAGTCCGGAAGACAAAAGCCTAGCCCCTAGACCCCGAAGCCAACAAACTCCATCCCAACCCCTGAGCTTCCCCCTAAAGAATGACACAAAAACAAACCCTAAAGGAAGGTGTTGGGATGTTTCGCAGCTCCCTTTGGTTGGGTTTAAGAGGATCCGGACTGAGGACTTGTTTCAGAAACCCTAAACCCTAAACCCTAAACCCTAAACCCTAAACCCTAAGCCGGTGGTGACAGTCCCTGCTCTGCGCTTCGGCCAGCCATGCGGGAGCCCAAAAGCACAACCCAAGACCCTACAAGGCCCCCCTAAGCCCTGAACCCTAAACTTAGTATCAGAGTAGGTAACCTTTATCCTTTTTGGGGTAATATATTCCCCTTATAATCCCAAAGGTTAACCTTTAAAACCCCTAGGTACTGGACAACTAAGTAAACCCCTTGTAACCGTCAGGAAGACTACGACATCGGCTTTTGGCTCCAGGCCGGGGCCCACCAATCGCAGGGGTTTTTCTACTATTTACCTGGGAACCACCCCCAAAACTATTCTTCCTTAGACAAGGGTAGCATAGGCTGAGGGATTCTGGTTTTTGTTTTCCAACCTTCGGGATTCTCAAGCAAGTAGTAGTTTGGGAGGCTACAAAGCTGAGGGCTTCCCCTTAAACTGCAAACATCCCCGCACCCTCTAAGAAGGTTTGGGGTTTCCAGGCTTTGGTTCGCTTAGGGCTTTGAGGATTCTAAGGTTTGTGTGGTTGAGCGGCAGGGGCTTTAGGATTTTGAAGCTTTCAGCTTTCTGGCAGCGTTTCTTGAAAGGGTGCCTGTGGGCTGCGCGGCTAACAATCATCGGTCGACTAAGGCAAACACCCTTTGCTGGGTTTCGGGGTTATTAGGGTTTCGGGGTTATTAGGGTTTAGGGAGTTTAGGGTTTTGGGCTAAAAGCCTCTGCTGCCATGGGGCATTGGAGCCTCAAATGCCTGGCCTTCGACTCCCCAACCTCTCAATGCCTCAAAGCTTGTTCGCCCATGCAAGTTCCTACAGCTTAGCGTTTTAGCAATGGCCATATGTGGGTAGTTCTCTAAGTAGGGTCGCTTTCTCGGGGCGTCCTAGAATTTTTAGAACTACCCATGTTACGAGGCCCCGGAGCATCCGCATCAAACCCTTCCACCCGCTGTCGCGGCCTTCACCGAGGTGGCGAGCAGGTCTGTTGAAACTCAGGCGGGCCCCATGCCGTTTTGGAGATTCGGGCCTGATTGGGTCTGTTTGTGGTGTCAGACATGTCTTTTGCGTGAAAGTAAATACAGACCAGTTCGCATCAAGTGTGCACGTTTTGTTGCTGGAGGTCGCTGGAATTGTGCCACTTGTTCAACCCGCTCTTGTTGCGGTTTGATTTACACCGAGCTGGACAGGCTCCTGCCCGGTCCATCACCACCTACGTGATTCCGAAGATTGCCGATCCACCTCCCACATGGACCCTCGGACTGCATGTCGGCGTTTGACTTAGTAGTAGAGTAGGTAACCTTTAACCTTTTTGGGGTAATAGATTCCCCTTATAATCCCAAAGGTTAACCTTTAAAACCCCTAGGTACTGGACAACTAAGTTGACTCGAGTCTGAACATTCCTTGACTGGGAGACCTTAGGATGGTGGACGAGACTGCAGAGGAACAGTGAACAAGCTCCAGAGTGCTGCTAGCCAGAGTTGCATCGTTTGAGGTTAGATTTGCTACCTGTGAACACTTGCAAGACTTGCAGCAGCATGGAAACGGTCATTCCTTGCAGCGCTTCGAAGAATCTGCTTCTTCATCCTCAGCAAAAGCCTGGAAGATAGTCGCTGCTTCAGTTTTCGGCGCAGAAATGCAGATTTTTTTTTGCCGGGGGGGGGGGGGGGGGGGGGGGGCGGGGCGGTCCAAAAAACACACATGTATTGCAGTTTTGCCATCTCAACTTTGCCCAGTAAAGACTCAACGTTTGTAGATGCATTCCCTGCGCAAGTTTGCATTTTTGAAAGCTGCATTCACCCATTGGCATTCTGGTCCAGCTTGGTTTTGGCAGCACAGTCGCGCACTCCTGGATCACGGACAGGTAGATGTGATTTCCGAAGTTCCGGCTCGCAAGGATCTATTACGTTACCAATTCGTTCAGCCCAGCTACGAAGACTTGCCCAGTGCCGTGAAGATTGAGGCAGGCTTTCATGCCGCGGCCGCACTGATGACATGCTTATAGCCCCTTACGCAACTTCCAACGCAGTAGTCATGTTGCAGACAAGTAATTAGCTTTCAAGGTTCCAGGAACCCCAAGCCTCTGCCAAGTGGCGCCATGCCGACGCTGCTACACTGGTGTGCTGGAGTGGGCGCGGCCATATCCATCAAAATCTCATCATCAATTGTGCCTTAGTTTAGATGCGAGGGGTCCAGGCGTGGAGGCAAGTCGGAAAAGCCCTCATGATTTGAAGATGGGTACTTGGAGGATTTGGTTTTCGATTTCAAGCACAGGAAAGAAGGTAAGGCAATGCAGACCTTTTAAAAAGCAACCACAATGTAAGCACCGCCTCAAGCATGGAACCCTCCACTCGCAGCCTTCCATATGCAGACATGCCCAGGATGATGTCGTGTGGCTGGCCCCGTTCTTGACCAACAACGTCAGCTACTTCTCCAGGCTTAAGAACATCAGCATCTATGTCATCGTTTGTTGGGCCCCTCGTCCAAAATCTCAATCCCCCCGGAAACTATTTTTTTTAAAGTGGCGTGTCTACGCCGAATGCCATCCCAAGAAAACTTTTGAGCACTTCAACATTACTATGGCTTTTTCGTGCGAGGTTCAGACCGCACTGGCCATGTGCATCGCGTATTCGGGCAACAAGATCGTGGATGCTTGGTGTGTTTCGGATCTTAGGGCTAAGGGTTCAGGTTTTGTTTGGTTTTGTTTGGGAGGGTTGGTGGTGGCTGCCTTGAGAATCCTTGAGCCAAGGAGATGTTGACCCGGAATTCCAAAGACGCGTGGTCTTCAGAAAAGATTTTGACTGTGATGGCTGGCTCCATGCTGGCTTTGTACTCCATCAAATTGATCTACGAGTACGCTACAGAGACAGAGGAAGAGGAGCAGGACACCAAGGAAGATGCAGGTCAAGAGACGCTTGGCGCAGACCTTGTTCGTGGTTGCTGTTGTTGCCCCATGTTGCCGCAATCCGCCGCATTCTTGAAACGCAAAGAACACCCTAAGCCCTAAAGCCTAAACCATACTCCAAAGCCTTCCCAAGAGCCGAAACCTCCCGACTCTTCCCCAAGGAACAAGTACGCCAAAGTCAGACCTTCTGATCTGGAGGGCGGCGGTGAGCTAACGCCTGGGCGCAACGAGTCCAGGCACATGTCCCATGTAACATCGGCATCAATCTTTGGGTGCTGCTAAACAACTGCCATGGCTAAGCTAAGAGAGTTGCCCAGCTTTCTAAATTGCCCCACTGGTTTTTCATAGGGAATGAGGGAATTAGGGCCCTAAGTATATGTACCCTTTAGGGATGGTACAGGGTGCCTCATCCCCTTCTTCCCTACCAAAAACCACGCTAAACACTTAACCCTAAATCTTACCCTTTAGGGACTGTAGAGGGTACTTCATCCCCTCTTTCCCTACTAAGAGCCACCCTAAACACTAAAGTCACTAAACCCGGGTGGCGAAACCCTAAACCCTAAACCCTAAACCCTAAACCCTAAACCCTAAACCCTAAACCCTAAATTCGGGTCGTTCCTGGGCTCCAGGCTTCCAAGCCCTAAGCTTTACACTTTGACCTCTGATGCCCCCCCCCCCCCCTAAACCCGAAACCCTAAGCCCTAAACCCTAAACCCTAAACCCTAAACCCTAAACCCTAAACCCTAAACCCTAAACCCTTGGCAGGCAGCTCTATTCAGCAAGAAATCGGCCCATCGAGTCTCCGAACGCAGCTTCGGAGACTTGTCTCCAGTTTGGGAAGTTGGGATTGGCCGACTGGGAGGTTCATGGGTAGATAGAAGTAGGGTTTAGGGTTTAGGGTTTAGGGTTTAGGGTCTAGGGTTTAGGGTTTAGGGTTTAGGGTTTAGGGTTTAGGGTTCAAGGTTTAGGGTTTAGGGTTTAGGGTTTGGGGTTTGGGGTTTGGGGTTTAGAGTGAACAGTAACCTGAATGGGGATTATAAGTAGAACTGCCATACTTGTCACCCTACTTAAAACCACCCATGAACCTCCCAGTAAGGGTTTCAAGGATTTCTGCGTGTGGCCCCCGGGATTCAAGACGTATAGTGGTGATTCACAAGCGATTGAACAAGCCTCTCATGTTGTGTATGCATTGCCAGTTTTGCGATTGCCTGTTGATCCCCCTAGCAGTGCCCACCCCAAGTTCTACACTCTACACCCTAACTAGGCCCCAAACCCTAAACCCTAAACCCTAAACCCCAAACCCTAAACCCTAAACCCTAAACCCCAAACCCTAAACCCTAAACGACTCAGCCAGGATCAGGAGAGGAGGATGCTGGATGACAAGGCGCGGGCGCTGTGCGATAGCTGCTTGTGACCATAAGCCCGGGGAGGCTCCAGCTCGTCGTTTAGGGTTTAGGGTTTAGGGTTTAGGGTTTAGGGTTTTGGGTTTTGGGTAAGGGCTCTGGGTATGTTGGGTTCATCCGACTACATTCCAAAGTTCCCAGAAAGCTGCTGCGCTTTTCCAGGAGTCTGCGCAAACGCAGACCCTCTTTGTCATTGCCTTCATCGGCTCTCTGGATGACCTCACACTTTTTGTGCCCATGCTCGTCGGGAAAGGGCCTCCCGGCTGCATAGGGATAGGGCTTAGGGTGTAGGGTTTAGGGATATACCCCTTAAAATATACATTGAGATCCTCAGTATGATTTGAGGTATATTCCTTATCTAAGGGGTACAGAGGGCTCTTTTTGGGGGGAATTAAGGACCTACCTTTATATAAATATAAATATAAATATATATATATATACATATATATACATATATATATATATATACATATATATATATATACATATATATATATATGCGCATACAACTTAGGGATCCTGGATATGGGGAGTTATCTGAAGGTTCGACTTTGCGCAGCTGACCATCGGCGCCTTGACGGCTGCTTCGTTGATTGCCGCTCGCTTCCACTTGCTGCGACCTTTGCCCTGAACCCCAACCCCTAAACCCTAAAGCGCATAATATATAAACCCGAAAACACTTCAGGCTCCGCCCTCAAACCACGCCCAGGACATGGGGGGGCTTGCTTTAAAAGGGTTTCATGAGTAAGGATAAGGGGATCCTATACATCATGCCAACATCAGAAGGAAATCTAGAAACCCCAAAACCATAAACCCTAAACCCGGCTTCGCGAGGTCATCATTTGCCTGTTCGTCGGTCTCTGTCAACCAGTCGCCGACTGCATCTCCAGAATACCCCTCTTCGCAATAGTTGCCCCTTGACTTCAAGTTGTGTGAGCTGCGCCATGCAATTAGCAACCCACCCTAAACCCTAAACTCAAACCCTAAACCCTAGACTCTGAGACCCTAAACTCTAAAACTCTATATAAACCCTAAACCCTAAACCCGAACCCGAGCTTCAATCCTGCAGAATTGCGACTCTCCACGCTGCCCCTGCAACCTCCTTGTGACGCTCAGGTAGCTTTTGCCACCCTGCTCTTGGTCAAGCTCCTTGCTTGCTTGGTTTAGGATTTAGGGTTTGGGGTTTGGGGTGTTTGGTTTAGGGTTTAGGGTTTGGGGTTTGGGGTTTAGGGTTTAGGGTTTAGGGTGTAAGGTTTAAGTTCAGGGTTTTGGGTGGTAGCCCCCGCCTTTTTAGGCAACTTTGGCAGTTCGGGATTTTGCCTGCTGTGGGTTCAAAGTGTGTGGACGTCGCGAGGTGCAATGCAACGGAACCCCCTGCTCCAAATAGAGTTCCCTAGGCTCCGGAGACAAACAAAACATGTACTAAAAGACCTCGAGACCCTAAACCAACAAGCGCTCAGCACCTTCTGCACTGATATAACCCTAGACACCCAAAACCCTAAACAGCCCAAACCCCTGTTGAGGTCCTTCACCATGGAGTGAACCTTGACCTTGAGCAATTTGTAAAGTCCGAAGCGTCCGGTCCGCAATGCTTCTATGCGAGCCCTTGAGCTGAAATGGTTATAATGGGTGTAGGGTGTAGGGTTTAGGGTTTAGGGCTTAGGGCTTAGGGCTTAGGGCTTCGGGTGTAGGGTTTACCGTTTAGTTTAGAATGGCGAGGCATGAGGGGCTTCAGGGTTCAAGTGGTTGGCCCTGCGATAGAAGCTACTTTGCGGAACGAGCGTCCTCGCGGGTTGTACTTAGAACTGCTTTTGCATTGGTCGAAATGCCCAACTGCAGAAGTGGTCAGCACAACAGCACAGGCTCTCAGACTAAACATCAAACCCAAAAGCGCTAGCCCCAGAAGCCTCAACCCAAAATCTTGCAACTCCCTGTAGCACTCATACTACACGTGTGTAGCGAACCCCTACCTCGCTCAAACCGTATACTTGAACCGACTAACCTTCAGCGGCGCCGCTCTTGCGCCATTCCCATGTCTTCATCAAGCTTCTTCAAAATCCTTCTGAAACCTGAATTTACAAGGGCCTCCCGATGCACCCTCCTCAGCTTTCTCAACATGTTCTGACGGTTGATTTCGTTAAGATTCAGAGGGTCTGTCTGGGGCGTTGGGGTTCAAGGGTTGTTTTGCTGGAGGATGTAGGATGGTGCCGGAGAGAGTAGTTCATGGCTCTCCTAATGTCTGGCATCAGACCCTAAACCTTCAACCTTCAACCTTGATTCTGTCTGAGAGTTGTCCAGCCAGCCTGTCTGCTAGCTCTACAAGGGCTTGGGGGGGGCTTCTGAAATCCAAGGAAAACCTCTTTTGTGCGCTCCCATCGCTCTCACGAAATCCCCCAGGTCTTAGGTTGCTTCCGCTTTGTTACACTTCAAGATCTAAGCCCGTAAACCCTTAAACCCTTAAATCCTTACATCCTTCAACCCTGGAACCCTTACATCCCTAAACCCTTAAACCCTCAACCCTTCAAGCCTGCAAGCACAGACCGGCTGCGCTCTCCTAGGATGCGGCCTAAGCAGGAAGGGCGCGCCTAAACGCCTTTGAAGCCTGGGTGTTCAAGGGTTGGGGCGCCCAGAGCTCTAGTTGGGGGTTTAGGGTTTAGGGTTTAGGGTTTAGGGTTTAGGGTCCAAGAAGCCTTAGACCTCAACCTTCCACCGGTAGAGTGGCCATTTGCACAGTGTCAAATGGTCTGAATCTTCGAACCCTAAAGCCTAATCCCTAAACCCTAAACCCGAACGGTATTTTGCGCTCTCCTTCCGCTTAGAGTTTGGCCCAGCGGCGTTTCACAGCTTCAGAGCGTGGACCTTGCCGTTGCTTGCATTGCAACCTTCCATGCTTGTAAGCCCCAAACCCTAACAGAGCTCGTCAGATGAGTTACTGTACGACTGGCCGCTTCTCTGAATTATGGTCCTTTTTTGGCGTACCCTAAACATTAGGGGCCACCTCATAACAGTGACCCTAACAAAGGGACCCTAATTTCGAGAAGTGACCAACCAGATTTTGCATCAATTGTATTATTGCACTATCGGAGATTTGTACTATTGGTGTTGGTGCCGAATACTAGAATAACAGAAAAGCTCAAATTGAAACAATATAATGTCAATAGCAGTCATAGCATTATGATGATGATTAGCGAGAACATCAAGAATAAAACAGTTTAGGAAGAATTAGAATACAATAGTATCATATGATAGTTAAACATACAAAACATATCACAATATAATCACATTGACCTCGTACAATAACATCGCAATCTATAAAAGTAGTACCAGAACAGCATCGTATAAGAACCTGCTAACAGAATCACAGAATTGCAGACTGACATAATAACATAATTGCACAATGTCATGATAGAACAATATGATAATAACATAAATAACGAATATAACGAAAAATAAATAACATAAATGACACCATAAATGTCCTAAACAACATGATATCATACTGTCACATACTACAGCAATAATCGTACACCCTACACCCTGAACCGTCAAATCGTAAACTCGGAGAGGATCCACTGCTCCTCGGCCCGAAAGTGACACCAAACACCTCAATGGTTTAGCGCTTGGGGGCTGGGATGGGGGGACAGGCCTGGAGGCGGGTTTAGGGTCGAGAGTTCTGACAAAGTCCGAGGTCGTTGAAGGTTGTAGAGGAAGACGGTTTGGAGAGGGTTTAGAAGATCTAGAGCGTTTAGACAGTTCAGAGGGTTCAGGGTTTCAGGATTCTCAAACTGAGGCTTCAGAGGTATCGGAGCCTTCGGGCCAGCGCCTGGAGGTTTGCCAGCGCCTCCCATCGCAGGCCCCTCGCAGATTGTCACCATGCGCAGGGGGAGCAGGCCACCTCGGGTGAACCCGCAAAAGCTAATTTAAAGTTTAGGGTTTAGGGTTTAGGGTTTAGGGCTCAGGGTTTAGTCCAAACCCTTAAACCCGTATGCCCCCGAAGCCCCCAGACCACTCAGCCGAAAAAACCCACAAAAGGCCCATAGTCCAAACGTTAAAACCCTAGGCCCTAAACCCCGAACCCTATAGAGCAGACCATGAACCCTAGAAAACCCGAAGCCCTTAAACCCTTAAACCCTATAGAGCCATAAGCCCTAAACCCTTTATGCCCCCCTGAAGCCCCTGAACCATTAAGCCGAACCAGCTCTAAACCCATAAACCCTAAAAACCTAAAAACCTAAAAAACCTAAAAACCTAAAGCCTTTTAAAGCCCCTTGAAGATCTGTACCATTGCAGCCCTGGCCTTTGCACCATCTTCACGCATCCTACCTGGCGACAGGGTCTAGGGCTAGGGTTTAGGATTAAGGTTTAGGCATTTTTGTTTAGGGCTTAGGGTTAAGGGTTTAGGGTTTAGGGTTTAGGGGGGTTGATCTCAGACGATGTAGGATGGGGGGCTTTGCGGATGGTTGGCTTGGATGTGTAAGAATGAAAGTGCAAAAAGAAAACTCCTCGGCACGCGTAGTCTTCTTGGAAGGGGGGCCTGGGAGATGCTCTACCCTTAAGCTTGTGAGGAATTGCGGATTTAGGTATCCTATAGTCCCTTAGAGGGTCATTATAGGGGATATAAGGTACGTAAATCCTACTGTGAGCTAAGACAGGAACTAGATCCTAAGCCCTAAACCCTAAACCCTAAACTCGCGTAGTTTCCATGGCTTACTTGAGGCTGTTTCTAGCCCTAAACCCTAAACCCTAAACCCTAAACCCGAAACCCTAAACCCTAAACCCTAAACCCTAAACCCTAAACCCTAAACCCTAAACCCTAAACCCTAAACCCTAAACCCTAAACCCTAAACCCTAAACCCTAAACCCTAAACCCTAAACGTGACGTCCTCGCATGGCTCGCTCCTGCTGTCTCGCCTCCATGCCGGATTCACCAGAAAGCCAAAACTTGGCGCGCCAGGGCTCTGCAGCTCTCTTTTGCGGATTTTGTTGGGTTTAGGGTTGAGGGTTGAGGGTTTAGGGTTTAGGGTTTAGGGTTTAGGGTTAGGGTTTAGGGTTTAGGGTTTAGGGTTTAGGGTTTGGGGTTTGGGGTTTGGGGTTTGGGGTTTAGGGTTTAGGGGTTCGGGTTTAGGGTTTAGGAATTTTAGAGATAAAAACCTTCGACGTCTATCCTTCAGGGCTCGCGGTTCTTGAAACCGAGGAAGCTCGCAGTACTTCTGGTTACAGGCGCCTGGTCTGTGCACTGCATTAATATACTCCTATTAATAATGCTATTAATCGCAACACTGATTGGGTTTTTTAGGGGCGTTTTACGATGGACAAACAAAGGCTCTTCCTGTTTTGGGAGGACAAGGGTTTAGGGTTTAGGGTTTAGGGTTTAGGGTTTAGGGTGTAGGGTTTAGGGTTTAGGGTTTAGGGTGGGTAACGCAGCCTGAGAGTTGTCGTTGAGTCGTCGAGGATTTGATGTTTCGTGTTGGACAAGAGGAGGCTGACAGTCGATGGAAGGAGGTCAGAGGACGAGGGTTTGGGGTTTAGGGTTTAGGGTTTGCAGTAGGGTTTAGGGTTTAGTTCCGGTTTTGATTTCGAGGCTAGAAGGTCTTGTGTTGTGCCGCTGCCGGTCTTTGTCAGCTGCGTGTGCGGGTGGGCGGTGGCCCGACCTGCATCCACCATGGTCAGATGCTCAGAGTTCAGAGGTTCAAAAGAAGAGGAAGCATGGTGAGGGTTTGGGGGGTTTAGGGTTTGGGGTTTAGGGTTTAGGGGAAGCATGGTGGAAAATTGCATTTAACCGAATATTCTCGAGTCTACACTCCGCACAAAGTGAATCTTCAAGATGAGACGAGCCGTCACGTGAAAGGCCTTTGAAGGACCCAGGGAACGATGCCAGCAGTGAGAGAGCGAGAGAGAGAGAGAGAGAGAGAGATGCTCGAAGCGGCCGAACCCGCACCCACTTCCCTAAATCCTGAACCAGCACCACAGATATCTCCAGAAACTGCAGCGAAACCAGGGCAAACTCAGAAGATGTCAGGTGAAGACCTTATCTTGTTTGCGTAGCTTACGTTGTGCACGGATTAACGCCTTCTATGGTTTAGTGAGCCACAAGGTGATTCGACACGCTTTGCACAAAAAGCCGCAAGGACTCTTGAAGCGTTGTTAAAGGCATGATGTAGGCTGTGATGCGGTCTCAGTCAGCACATTTCTAGTTTGGAGTAGCTCCCAACCCTAAACAGGCCCTCAACACCCCCTAAACCGTCCTGAGCCCCTAAAGCCCTAAACCCTAAACCCCCCTCAATCACCCAACTCCCTCGTGGAGCTCAGGCGTCGCTCGGCTGGGTCTATCCATCTCATGGACCGTCGGGAGCTGAGCAGAAAGACTCCCACACGGACATCATTCTAATTTCTCAAAAATTCATTGCTTTATCACTACTGATATACCATTATCTTGTTTTTTCTATGTTATTCTTTTTCTCTATGTTCTAATTCTCGTATTGTGCAGTACCGTATATTGTACAATTGTTGTATTGTTGCACAGTTGCATAGTTTAACATAGTTGTATGATTGTGTGAATTTTGGTATTATTGTGCGATAAAGATATTGTGCTACTGTACTACTATACTCGTACGTGGAGAGGATCGCGGTAGGTTTGTGTCGAGTCCCCAAACCCTGCGATCTCAAAGGCCTTGGAAGCTTACCCTAAACCCTAAACCCCTTCTCGGAGGTCTGGAAGCACCCTGGCAAATTTGCCGTCCAACCTCGGATCCAGACAGGCAACTCCTTTGTCAGCTTTCTGCCTCACTTTTGGCGGGACTTGAGGTAATCTTCTACTATTTGCTGAAGAACCCCAAAAGAATAAAGAACAATCATCCCTATATTGCCCTGAATAGGCAAGAATATTTTTATTTTTCGGTGTTCTTCAGCAATTAGTAGTCTTTTGGGGCCCTCGGCAGTAGCTGCATCTAAGAGCGTTACCATGTCAAAGCAACTCGAATCATGGATTGGGTTTTTGAACCTTGCAAGAGACACCTAAACCCCAAACCCCAAACCCTAAACCCTAAACCACCTCCGCAATGCAGAGCTTTCGGTTCTGGACTTTTTGTTTGCTGCTTCCGTGCCCCCTCGGGCTTGGCTGTGTGGCTTGGGGGCTTTGAAGTTTTTGGGGGTTTGGACCTGAGGCTTCCCGAAAAACCCCAAACTTTAAACCCCAAACCCTAAACCCTAAACCCTAAACTCAGAGGAGTTCGGGCTTAAGCCTGATATATAGCCCGAATAGCCCTATCAAGCCTCTAAACCCTCGATAACTGGTACAAACCCTCTATAACCCATATACCCTGCAAACATGTAACGCTATTAAGACCCCAAACAGCCCTGAATCCTAGAATCCCTATCAGCCCTCTATAACCATGTAAACCTTATAAAGACCCAAAAACCCTGAACCCTATAAGAGACAGCATGCCCGGACATCGAAAAAACAAACGTGCGGACATCGAGAAAAACTCCACAACATCGAAAGATGACATCGAAAACAGACCTCATGGCCTCGAAAAAGTACCTTGCGTACTCCGACATCCTTTGAAACCGCCCCTGGTGCAGCTTCGACCCCCTGAAACAGGGCCTCAGGTCATCCGTAGCAGTCTGCGGCCTTGAAGACCCATATTGTGCGCCCGTGGTGCATCCGTCGCCGCCCTTCCGTCCGTCTGTCTTCCATCCTTGAAAACCCAAATGGCGCGTCCGTGGTGCAGCTTCGACCCCCTGAAACAGGATGACATCGAAAGCAGACCTCATGACATCGCAAAAGTACCTTGCGTACTCGTCCGCCCGCCCATTCGTCAGTCCGTGCGCCGTCCGCCGTCCTGAAAAACCCTCATGGTGCGTGCGTGGTGCAGTTTCGACCCCCTGAAAACAGAACCTCAGGTCATCCGTCACCGCCCGTGGCCCCAGATTGTGTGCGTTTGTCCGTCCATCCGTCCTCCCTTCCGTCCGCCGCCCGCCGTCCTTAAAGACCCTTATGGTGCGTCCGTGTTCAGGTCATCCCTAACCGTCCTCGGCCTTAAAAACCCACATTGTCAGATATGTCCGTCTTCCGCCTTTACTTTACCCTTTTGGTGCGCCCCTGGTGCTGTTTCGGCTCCCCAGGCCCTCAGGTCATCCGTAGCTGGGGGCGGCCGTAAAGATCCACATTCTTACTTAGCCAATAGCTGAACTTAAAACTTTTTGGGTCTCCTTATTTAGTAGGAATTAATAAAGTTTAACCTTTTTTTATTCCTTGTTGTTGGAGAAGTAAGTATTGTGCCGGTTTCGATGTCATAGCATTTTTTCCTTGTCCGTACGTGCCCGATAATCGAACCTACCGCCAAGATATTTTCGATGTACCCAAAAGCCCGTTGCAAAAGGGTTTAGGGCTTAGGGTTTTAGGGTTTAGGGTTTAGGGTTTGGGGTTTGGGGTTTAGGGTGTAGGGTTCCAGGCTTAAGGGGTTTCGGGGTTCTAGAGTTCCAGGGTTCTAGATTTCTAGGGTTCTAGGGTTTAGGGTTGAATTTGCTCAATGGAGTTCTGAACCATCAGCCCTGCTGACTAAACCCTAAACCCTATATAAACCCTAAGCCCTGAACCCTAAACCATAAACTCTACCTTGAGCCCTTTTTGGTGTTTCAGCCTGAACCCCTGCCGACCTTGGGCCTGCGCGCCACGGATTTAGGAGCTTGCATCCTGTCCTAGGTAGGTGTTTCAGTTCCGAGAGGAGGCGCTGCGTGGGGCAGCGAGTTTCAACGAAAACTGGGGCCAGGGTACTGTCACACTCTGACGGCCTCCCGGTGCCGACTGCGCAGCCCCTCCCGCCTACACAGCTGGCTGCTTGAGATCCTCAGTACTTTGGGGCGGGGGATGTGGGAAAAGCCAGTAGGCTGTTTGAACGTCTTGGATTTCTTTCCCTGACGCTGTTTGCTCGGCGTTGCGCCACAGTGACTACTCACATGATTCACGACGCAACATCTCTCAGCTGGCTTGCTGAAGTTCAGCGCTGCTGAGGTCGATGACCCTCTTCCTTACGGAGCGTGTCTTTGCGTCGCAAGATTTTGCGATGTCATGCAGAGAGGCAGGACAGCGCCTTTTCTTTCAGCTAAGCCTATAGCCAGGTTACTGCACAGAAACGTCCATGGCGTGTCTCCGCTGGAGATTTCCTGCCGAATCGGAACTAGCCGCGTTGACGGCTTAAACCAGGCCAACCCCTGCTCGCGCGGCCCCTCGCGAAATGAGGGTGACGGCCGTCGTGCCCTTAGCAAGGTTTCAAGTTCCACCGTGTGGGCAGCCAACAAGTATTCATACGTAAAAGTCATAAGCGTGAGCACCATCAACCCCTTTACAAAATCTGCGCATGACAACCGCTGACAACCTACCAGTAAATCCGAGGCCGAGCGCTGCTTCAGGCTGCCGCAGATGGGCCTGGCAGACGTTCAAAGCACCCTTCGCAAAGATCCGGACGCTGCGGATTTCAATACTCTTTGAATTTGCCATGCTGGCCCCAGGTAGCCCTTGCCTTACAAGAGTTCTTTCAAGCATCCGTCATCCTCGACGTCAGTGTAGCTGGGCCTATGGCTTCAGTGGGCGCCTGGGAAACAACATCCCTCGGCCGATCTTCAGCCTTACAAGCGGGGCATAGCAGGATGCCCGAGCACCTATCGGCACAGAGCCCCTTTCTCAACCACAATGAACCACGTGTGACATTCACATGTTCGGCAAGTTCCAAATGTCTTTAATTGGCAGAATCCCGGCGAGCCGCCGCGATAAAGTAGTGGCTGCATCATGCTACACTCCCACACCCATCTAGGGAATAACTTGTGCTTTCTGACGCCCTTCAACAAAAGAAGCTGTCAAGGCTGGACTCCCCAGCTGGCGTCGTGGACTGGCCAGGTGGATGTGGTGAAGCGTCGGCAGTGCAGCGAGCAGAGCAATGCAGTTGCAGCGCCAGCCATAATTCCAATCAACCACACCTTCCTCAGATGGTTCTGACTCGTCGCTAGCTTTGCCCCTCGACCACCTTGGATGGATCTATTAGTAGTAAATCCCCAGACAAGCCCCGTGGTCAAAATGTACTCGTGCTGCAGCGCAGTGTTTGGATCAAGCGAACAGCTTTATTGTTCGTCCTTGCTTGTCTTGGAGTGTCTCATGTCCTGGCAGCGACATCCCCAGCTGACGCACGTAGTGTTTGGACCGTGTCGCAAGCGTGCAAGCACTTGGGCGAGATTGTGTGCAGCGCAGCTCCAGGTGGAAACTTGTTGGTGGAGATGCCTGGGAGAGCTTGCCGACAGCTGCGGCCCGGCTGATGGCTGATGCTTGCGTGGCTCAGGCAGTCCTGAATGGCAAAGCCTCATTTTTCAGATGCTTGGATCCTTGTTGTCTTCGTGGGTTGGTGGGTGGGTGGGAGAGGGTGGATGTGTGGGTGGTGGGTAAGCTTCTTTGGTGTCAAAAACAGCCTTGAACCTTAAGGTTGATCTCTGTTGAAGTCATATTCTGCCCCAGAGTTCGAAAGCGCAGCTTGCTGCGTTTTGAAGCCTAGGCTGAACATAAATATATAACGCGCGCGGTTCCTTTGCGCAGGCACCTTTGTAACTTGGGGGGAGCGCAGAAATTTATGGTCAAAATTAGTTTTGGAAGCTTCTTCCAAACTCCCAAGTGCTATTGAAATCAGGGAGACCGTCACCTAGACGGACCAGATGAGTCCGCTCGTGATGGATAAGTCCTTATTCCCATTTGAGAAAATGCTGTGAGCATTCATCGCGCTTTGCGATTTAAGTGTTCAAGTACAACACGCAACATGTTCTGAAGATTCAACATGTGCTGTTCCCTGAGACTCGCTTATTGGCTCTAATCAATAAGGTTGTAGTCTTATTGATTGCAACATTTTTTCAATTATAGACTATAGAGTATTGATTTCACATCTCACGAAATCAAAGCTGGAGTTCAAAAACGAACAGCATAATGGATGGAAGCAAAATCAATATGAGATTCAATTCAAAATGGCTGCAAGGCACGGACAGGTTTTCTTCATTTCAAAAGCAGCAAGCTGTTTTTTGTTTTCCATGCTTTGTTTCTCGGGTCAAGCTTCGGCTTTCTTTGGTTTAGAGCCTAGGGGTATAGGGTTAAAGGCGAAAGGTATTTTAAGGGTTTAAGGCTCTAAGGGATTCAGGATTTAGGGCTGAGGGAGCCGGGGGTTCAAGGGTTCAGGGCTTTGGGGTGACGGGTGTCAGGGTTTAAGGATTCAGGGTTTCGGGGTTTTAGGGGCAGGGTTTAAGGGTTCAGGGTTCTCGGGGGTTTGTGGTTTCAGGGGGTCAGGGCTTTTGGGGTTTCGGGGGAGCGCAGCAACCCGACCACAAAGCCCAGAACCCTAAACTTCAAGCCGGTAACCAACCCCCTGAACCCAAAGGCCCGGACCATAAACCCCTTTGTCATCGCTTCGCTAGGGATTAGTTAGGTTTCGGTGGTTTGTTTTTGTGTTGGCTTTGGGTTTAGGTTTCAAAGTGTGTGTAGGAGTATATATATATATATACACACATACATACATATTTATGGTCTCGGGTTCCAGGTCGGACATCGAACCTACCACCAAGATATTTTCGATGGAGCGTTTTCGATGTCCGCGCAAAATATCTCACCCTTATAACCCTTAACCCTATATGGGGTTTACGAAAATATGGGACCCCTAAATAACGCCAATATAAACCCCCAAATAGCAGGATCCACTAATAATAAGGACCGCAATAAGGTACCCCTTGTCGTAAACCCCTAACCTAAACACTAAGTGGCTGAGGGCTCGCTGCCGCCGCGTGAGAGCGCTCAGCGAGCGACCTACCCACACGCCACGACCGCCGCAGGTAAAGCTGTGGCTGCAGAACGCGTTGCAAGATGAGCACCCAGCCGTGCGCGTGAGCGGTCAAGCCTTTTGGGTGCCGGAGGTTCCCGCCCCCCCACCCCCCCCACCCCCCCCCCACCCCCCCCCCCCCCCCCCCCCCCCCCCCCGAGGGACCAATTTTGTGCCTCAGGGACAGCTGGCCTGATCCAGAAGGTGGAGCAACCGAGGGCTTGCGCCAGGTTGGCAGCCCAGAGCCGTTTTCCGACTGCAGGCCAGCCGGGTTGCCCGCTCACGCGGCCCCGCACAGGAACGGCTCTCGCGGTCCGTCCTTCACCCAGACGAACCCTTGCCGGCTGACCAATTTGCGCCCCAAAAACACACCGGGCAATGTTTTCAGGCTATCCCTGCAGTATGAAAGCGCCCAGGAGATGGCTCTCGGGCCTTTGGCCCAACACGGAGGTCAACCCGGGGCGGCCAGCCCCCCGTACCGAGTGACAACAACCACGTTGCTGTCTGAACGAGGGACATTTGATAACAGCCGCACGGCTGCAGTGGAGCAGGCCCACGGCGGATAAGAGCACCAACCGACTTGAGGACCAAAGCCCTAAAATACTATGCGCCGGGTGGTTTGGGGTGGGTATACCGCCACGCGACGTGCGCATGGGAGTGGGCACGTGAAAGCCAATCTATAGGGCCCACGACGCGCCAACAACGCTACCACACCATAAAGCCTAAACCCTAAATCCCGCGGAGGCCGCGCGCCCGCCCAGTGGAGGAGAGCATGCGACGAGCGCGGCCCTGGCCGCAGCCGCGGCTGGGTCCCCGGCTTTAGGGGGGCGGAAGCAGAGATTCTTAGTATTGGGGTTTAGGGTTTCGGGTTTATGACGTAGGGTGTGGGGTGTCAGGTTTCCGAAAGTTACAAAAAGGGCCTCTGAAAGTTAAGGGTCCCTTTTGGAGGGGCCTCGCAAAAGGATCTTTGGGGAAAAAGAGGCCTTTGCCACTTGCTGGAAGATCTAAACCCTAAGCCCTAAACTCTAAACCCTAAACCCTAAACACCCTAAACCCCAGGCTCTGGGTTGACAAGGAGATGCCCCAAACGTTCAGCCATAACCACAAGAGTGAACTGCGATTGTCAAAAACCATACTACTATAATACCATACTACCGCTATACTATAATACTATACTGCTATAATGCTAAACTACAAAAACCCATAATACGGTTCAGGACCCCAAGCCCCAAACTGTCCCAGAAACCCAAAGCTTACCATCAGCCCAAACTCCCCGCCTAACTTAAACCCCGCAAGGCCACAGCTCTTCAAGTCCTTAATGGTGCCGGAACTCCAGGGCAAGTCCAACCCAGTAGAAACCCCAAACCCCAAGCCCAAAACCCCAAACCCCAAACCCTAAACCCTAAACCCTCAGCAGTTTCTGTCACAAGCAAGTGAGGGCTGCGCTTGAGGGATGTGTCCTTGTCAACTTTGGTCCCCGGTCTGTGTGGGTGGTGCATGGAACCCTTTGCCTTCCCGTGCAACGGCTTTGCAGTCATTGCGGCTCTAGGCCCTTTGGGTTTGGGGTTTGGGGTTTAGGGTTTGGGGTTTAATTAGGGTCTAAGGTTCAGTAGGTCCTCTAAGCTTGAAATGCATAAATGAAGCTCTCCCAAACCAAGCGCCAGACCCCTGATCGCTAAGAGTCTCCTGACCCTGTGTGCCCTGCAAACGCCGCAAACCATAAACCTCTTCTATTTGACCTGTTGAGACCGTCCAAACCCTCAAGGTGAAAATGCAACATCCTCTGAGCCCTCAATAACCCTATCAATCCCTCAAAAGCCTCAGGTTTGGGGTTTGGGCTTAAGTACGTAGGGCCCGTAAATCCTACACCAAAACACTCGAAAACCCCGTATAAACCGTACAAAAAGCCGTATTTAACCCTATGTAAACCTTGTGAAATTCAAAACCCTAAACCCTAAACCCTAAACCCTAAACCCTAAACCCTAAACCCTAAACCCTAAGCCCTAAGCCCTAAACCCTAAACCCTAAACCCTAAACCCTAAGCAACAGAAAGGTCTGCGCCGCCGCGCGGGCTTCCCGGCGGCCCAGGGGCCTGTGTCGAGCCACCACAGTGGAGGCGAACTTAGAGCCAAAGACCTCAACCCAGGAACAAAAGTGCTTAGGGGTTTAGAGGTTTAGGGTTTAGGGGTTTAGGGTTTAGGTTTAGGGTTTTTTCAGGTTTAGGGTTTAGAGTTCTTCACTGCAGTAGCTGTCTGGGGTTGGGCCTTGGGAGTTCTTGTTTATCTTTGTTTACATAGCAATTCCCTTATTTATGTTATGGGTCTAAACGGGAGCATAGTTACGTCATTCCGGCAACATGCTAATTATAAAATTTTCTAGAGCCTTACAGGCTTCGGGGTTTTCTACCCCCTGCTGCTTAGTGGGGAATGAGGGAGTTAGGGCCCGGCCCGTGCGGCGGCCAAGGGCCTGCCAGAGTGGAGGCGAACTTAGACCCGAAGACCTCAACCCAACAACAAAAGTGCTTAGGGGTTTAGGTTTTAGAGGTTTAGGATTTAGAGGTTTAGGGTTTAGAGTTTAGGTTTAGGGTTTTTCAGGTTTAGGGTTTAGGGTTCTTCATTGCAGTATCTGAATAGGGTTAGGCCTTGGGAGTAATGATAGCCCCACCAAACCTTGGAGGTTGCGTTCCTGTCTCAGAGTTCAGAAAAGCCCTAAACCTTAAGCCCTAAACTGCCTGGGTTGGGACTTAGGAGTTAGGAAGTTTTTCTTTCGCAGGCTGAGTCAACCACGGGCCTTGCTCCTTGGGAGATCGAGGAGGACCGGACATCGAACGGCAGGGGCGTTTCGAGCGGCACTTACAACCCTAAACCCAAAAAACGAAACCCAACACCCAAAACCCAAAGCAAACCCTAAACCCTAAACCCCTGGTTTCATTCCTTGAGCTTGCTGGTATGGTTGCCCAGACCGCGGCCTGGACATTTAAGTCCTAAACCCTCTGAATGGCCAGCCTTTTCTGCTTATTAATACTGTTACAATGTGTTACTCCTTTTGCGGTTCAGGGCTCATATTTACTATTAACGTTGCTTTGATTCTTACTATGATTATCATCAGCATGGCTTTGTTTGTAGCTTGGTCTGTGGCTTGAGAGGCTTGCGGCCAGGAGAGTATGGTTGAGTCTACCTACAAAATTAGATGTTCTAGTCTGGTTTGAGGGGCGAGGCCTCGGCTTTCACCGAGTTCCAAGCCCCTGAACCCGAAACCCTTCTGTGCCAGGAGACCGAGGACGAACGACAAGCGCGCTATGCGCGCGAAGCAGATGAGATGAAGCTGAAGTGGGACGCGAGGTCTGGCTACATGCGCCTTCATGCCTGTGAGACTCTAAAAACATCGGGCCTCTACGGAGGGATTTCTTTAAGGGTACCATACATACAAGGGGGCGTACTGCAGAGACCCAATAAAGGGACAGCAAAAAACACACGGATGGATGCCAGACATGTGACCGTGTCTGTGATTTTGGGAGCAAATGTTTAGGGAATCCATATACTCTAAGGCCTCAAACCCCTAAAGTCTCACAACAATCAAATAGAAGCAAGAACACGGCCCGAAGCCATGAACTAAACACTGACCCCCAATCCCCCTGAACGAGGCCCGGAAACCCTAGGCCCTAGGACCCCACGGCCTTAAAGGCATTTTAGGACCCTAAACTCTAAACCATGACATTTCATTACCTCTGCAGGGCGTAACGACCATGCGAAGTTGTAGATTGATGAAGTTTCAAGTCTTGCTTATCGGGGGGCGGGGGGGGTATTGGGGGGTCATTACGACCCTGCCAAGTTGTAGATTGAGGAAGCTTTTTGTCTTGCTTATCGGGGTATTGGGGGTCATGACGACCATGCCAAGTTGTAGATTGAGGAAGTTTCGGTCTTTGTAGTGTCTTTGTTTTCCGCGTAAGCGGACCAACCCAAATCGCACCGGTGGCCCATCCAAGGCTCCAGGCTCTCGAAATGCCATGCCCCCAAAAACCTGCACCCGGCCCCTAAACACACAAAACCGCGCACCCTACACCGGACCTCTTTGCCTAAATCCCAAACCTTCAGCCTCTGCATTCTGTCCTGTAGCTTGGCATAAATCCTCAATTTGGCTGTTGTGGTGGTTGTTCTGAGGGAGTGGAGCGTGGACAGGTTGCAAAAAAATAAGCCGAGGCCGCGTAAGCCCGCGTAAGCCAAAACAGCAAGAAGGTTGCCGCGTAAGCAGGACCTGGAAGCGCGTAAGCTCGCTTAAGCAAAGTCCTTTCTGGAAAGAAATTTCTCTTGGTCGCCGCTCACGTAAGGTTTAGGGTTTAGGGTTTAGGGTTTAGGGTTTAGGGTTTAGGGTTTAGGGTTTAGGGTTTAGGGTTTAGGGTTTAGGGTTTAGGGTTTAGGGTTTCTGGTTTAGGGTTTAGGGTTTAGGGTTTAGGGTTTAGGGTTTAGGGTTTAGGGTTTAGGGTTTAGGGTTTAGGGTTTAGGGTTTAGGGTTTAGGGTTTAGGGTTTAGGGTTTAGGGTTTAGGGTTTAGGGTTTAGGGTTTAGGCTCCCCAAACGAGGCGCTTGGAGGAGAAGTACTCGGCGCAAAGGAGGCAAGCCTGGTCGCAGAAGGAGCAGGAGCGCGCCCGGCGCTCAAAGCCCTGGAGAGTTGGTTGGGGGAGGTTCAGGGGTTCAGGGGTTCAGGAGTTTAGGGGTTTAGGGGCTTAGGGGTTTAGGGGTTTAGGGGTTAGGGGGTTTAGGGGGTTTAGGGGCTTCAGGGGTTTCAGGGTTTTGGGGTTTGAGAGGGAAGGTTTCGAGGTCGGGGGGTGCAGGGTCCATCGAAGGACCCAGGCATCAGTGATGCTGCTCTCTACTAAAACCCAAAACCTAGTACCCTAAACTTCCGTAACACGAAAAAAACGCAAAGTTCCGGAAGTTCGAAGGTGTATGAAAGCCTGGGGCGGCTGTTGTAGGGCGAAGCGCATTTGGTCTTTGGCTTGAGATGAAGCTGGTAGTTAGGGAGCCCAAGACCCTGTAGCTTCTTAGGGCTCCCTGCTGCCTACTGAGATCCCTGTAAGCAAAAAACTCGGGGGTGCTGGGAGTAGTTTTTCTCTCGGGCCCAATGCCCTTTCACTGCATATCACGAGTTTTTGGTCGATCCTGTGTTGCTTCATGTTGTCAATGATGCTGTTGTGTTTATCGAGCAAAGGATGGCAGACAAATTGCGATCTAAACGATCAATGTAGGATGTTTCTTTTCCTTTCCTTGTAGATGCCAACACCTCATTTGCAGGCTTCTTATATATGTGCTAACCAAACTGACGTCGCAAAATCACAGAAGCGCATGTAAATGCCTTGTGCCTAGCAAAGTGCAGCGGAACCTTTTCGTCAAATCTCGGCGGGAAGTGGTTTCCAAAGCATGCCAACGAACTGCAAGCCTCAAGCACAACATCTCCTACTATATCTGTATATATATATACATGCACACTTTTCCCTTGTGTTTTAAGAGGATCGTGTTCAGCAATGTTTTGAAAGGGTCAAAAGGGGGCCAGCGCCCCGAGCAAAGGCCTCTCTCTACGGGCCGCGCGATCCGATCATGGAAGCCTATGAGGCCATCAGCTGGCACTGTTACGGGCTTTTGGGGTTTTGGGGTTAGGGGTTTAGGGTTTAGGGTTTAGGGTTTAGGGTTTAGGGGTTAGGGGTTAGGGGTTAGGGGTTTACAGTTTAGGGTTTTGGGCTTACAGGCTACTTGCAGGGTGCCGAGGGAATGGTAGAGTGTGCTTTTAAGATTTGCATTGCAGGCTTATATACAGGCTTTATGAGCGTAGCAAGGTTTTGAGGGTTTTTGTAGGGCCCGGAGGCGTATGTATGCTTGTAGGGTTTGCAGGGCTAAGAGGGCTTTTGGAGTTTCGAGTGTAAAGGGCCTGCAGGTTTTTTGTCTGATCTGGGAGTTTCCGAAAACAGGGGCACCCTCTTGGGAGAGGCTACCTCTATTGAGGGCAATACCCATTTTGGGGCACCAAGAGGGCCCTCCCCTGTGCTCTTACACTCTTCGGCAGAAACGCTTCGGGGTGCAGGGGTGAAGATTCCTGCCAGGCTCGGATGTACGAAGAGGCCCGCGTCATTGAGATCCGACGGCGACAGCGGGAAGTCTACGAGCGCATCAAGGCAGGGCTCGAAATCTTGCGTTTCTAGAATGGGGGTTCTCGAGAGTTTGGGACCCCTCCGTTGCGGGCTAGAAGAAGGATCAAGTAGAGTATGTTGGAGTACGTCAAGGGGTCCCCAATCCTTAGGCAAATGCCCATGTCGCAGTAGCATATTAGAGTTAGGGCAGCAAGGGGCCCTATTTATAAAGCTGCACTTTGCAGCTATAAATAACGCTTGGGATTTAGGGCTTTCGGGTAAACGTTAGGGTGTTTGGGTACTTTTATTAAGGCTGGCTTGTGGGCCTTTAGGGTTTGGCGGTCCTGGCACCAATGCCGGCGGCCAGAAGATTAGGGTTCAGAGTTCAACCCGTACACCCTCAACCTGCAAACCGCATAAAGTCCGAACCTGCAAGCCCTAAACCCTGGAAACCCTGGAAACCCTGAACCTGTAAACCCTCAGCCCACACGCAAGCGACAGGCCTCCAAGGAGGGGCGTCCGCTGCCTCCCAAAGGCACGCCATATGCCGGGCTCCCAGTGGATACCCGCAGCTCAGGGCCGTTGAGGGCTTTCAGGGTGCTTAGGTCGTTTGGGGCGTTTATGTTTTAAAGGACTTTTATTTTTGTTTCGGGTGTGTTTGGGGCGTTTTGGGGGAATTAGGGTCTAACGGTTTTGGATGGGTAGTTCTAGGTTGCAGCTAGATAAGGCTCCATGCGCCAACCAGGAACCCCAAGTAAAAGGATTCATGTCGACAACGGCACAGATGTTGCAGGATTTCACCAGACCAGAGACCTCCCTGGAGTTTTAGGGTTTAGGGTTTGGGGTTCCTTGTAGCTACACCCACTCTCTGAAGCGCAGGCTTTGATGTTCAAAATCAGTGTCTACACAGGCTCACATCCCATATCTACACACTACCGTGCGAGATCCAAGCCCCAAACCCCTCGACCTCCTGACCCTAGAATGGTGCCGTAGAATGACGGTGAGTCAGTCCCCTGGCCAAGGTGAGACAGTCCCAGGCAACTACTGTCCCTAAACCCTGAACCCCCAAATCCCTAGACCCTAAACCCTCAGTCCTAAACCCTAAACACCCTAAACCCTCAACCCCTAACCCTTCGGCCCCAGGTGGTGCTGAAGCCGTCGCCCACGGAGCCACCGAGCCCTGATGAGTTCGACACGTCGGGCCACTACAAGCCTGAGGAGGCACCCCCACCGTTTTAGGGTTTAGGGTTTAGGGTTTAGGGTTTAGGGTTTAGGGTTTAGGGTTTAGGGTTTAGAGCTTTAATCCCTTCCCCCTAATAGTAAACCTCCCCTACTCCCCAAATATTACATACCCCCCCATTGTGGTTATGTTATGGTTAAATTGGGGTTGTTAATATTCGGGGGAGGGGATTATGTAGGTTTTTTTATAGGGTCTATGCAGCGTTTAGGGGGTTTATGTATGTATGTACGACTAGGGCTCTGGGTTTTGGGTGCAGAAGCCTCCAAGAAAACGCTACGTTTCAAGGACGGCACGCGGCAGTGAGCATCCCATCTCTCTCCCGACTCGTAGAGCCTCAGAAGATTCTGCACTACTGGTACTTTTGTAACTTTTCAAGGTCTGCAAGAGATGAAAACTGGTGTGTTGATTTGCTGCGGTGCTGTGTCGCCGGGATAGGAAATTCATAATTTTCAAGTTCGGCACATGTGGAGGTAAACCCTAAACCCTAAACCCTGTGGCGAAACCCTAAACCCTAAAGTGTTCCACTGCCATGCCTTGATGCCATGCCTTGCGCCTGGTAGACCCTCAGCTAGAGAGCTGACCACCACATTGAAAGATGGGACCTCGACCCGCTGCGCAAACAAGCCTTAACAGCAGGGTTTAGGGTTTAGGGTTTAGGGTTTAGGGTTTAGGGTTTAGGGTTTAGGGTTTAGGGTTTAGGGTTTAGGGTTTAGGGTTTAGGGTTTAGGGTTTAGGGTTTAGGGACAGAGCCCTGGCCCCCTCAAAGCTCAGAGCCCAAGTACAGTAAACTCTTCGGCTCAGCTGACCGGACCTACAGCTCAACATCTCCACAAACCCTTAGGGGTTTAGGGTTTAGGGTTTTGGGTTTTGGGTTTTGGGTTTAGGGTTTTGGGTTTAGGGTTTTGGGTTTAGGGTTTCTTTCTCCCCAAGCTCATTTCGGGTTTGTAGTTTCAGTGTTTAGGGTCTATCCCCCAGCCTTGCAAGGACATTGAGGCGAGAAAGTATAAAGCGCCGGCCACGTATGTGGGAAGCCCGGGGCGGTTTCAAAAGCTTTGGGTTTCATATCGGCTTTCGAGCTTTCGGTTTTTTTGGGGTTGCTTGTTTCTTCGGTGTTAAGGGGTTTAGAGTTTAGGGTTTAGGTTTTAGAGTTTAGGGTTTAGGGTTTATAGGCACCTACGGAAGCTTAGGGAGCCTTAGGGAGTAGTGGGGAGTATCAGGGAACCTTGGGTTACATACCCCCTTGTACTCCCCCTCCCTTAAGAACTCTGTAACTTCAGCTCTGCTCCTTTATGTTGGGGGGTGCAATGGGAAGGCAGCAAGCGCGCTTGGGAGTTCAGACCTGTGGACGACCGCACTGTTTTTGGGGCATCCGGGGCGAAAATTCGGGGGATTTGGTTAAAACAGCAAGAGCTGTAAGATCATGAAAGCGAGAGCAGCAAGATGATGAACACACCATAGTAAAAGAAAACACCCTGAACCCCAAGTAACTCCGTCAACCCCCAACCCCTCAACCCTACATCCCTACCACCCCTCAAGAGAAGGTTTCGCCCACCGGCCCGGCCCCACCGCCCCGGCACCAGCGCGGGAACCCGCGGGCGGCCGGGCACTCGACCGGGGCGTTGGCCGTTTTCGCTGATTTGTGTCGTTTCCTCTGTGGAAGTCAGGACGTTTTTAAGCTTACTTAGCCAATAGCTGAACTTTAAACTTTTTGGGTTTCCTTATTTAGTAGGAATTAATAAAGTTTAACCTTTTTTATTCCTTGTTGTTGGAGAAGTAAGTAAGGGGGGGCGCTTGTGGTGGGCTAAGAGTGTCACTGCTTGAGGGAGGCAGAGGGCCTTGACATAAATACCCTACTACTCCACACTTCAGTGGGAGAGACCCGACAACCTTAAACCCCAAGCCCGAATGAACCCCCGAAACCGCAAAACCCGAAAACCCGAAAACCCCAAAACCCCAAAACCCCAAAACCCCAAAACCCCAAAACCCCAAAACCCCAAAACCCCAAAACCCCAAAACCCCAAAACCCCAAAAACCCAAACCGACGCGACGAAACTGAACGCCGATGAGGCGTGGGAGACGCCGCAGTACGCGCCGGCTCGCCCAGGAGGGCCGCCGCCGGAGAGCCGAGAAAGGGCCCAGGCTAGGGTTTAGGATTTAGGGCTTAAGGGTTTAGGGCTTAAGGGTTAAGGTTTAGGGTTTAGGGTTTACTTCGGGTTTCTACGTGGGAGGTTCTTCAAGTTTTGGTCCCTTTTTGGTGATCCTAGTAGAGCACGGAACCTTCTGTGTTGGTAACCAAAACATGGCCGTCGTGCATTGGGCCCCCACATCTTCACGATTCGTCGATGGCAAAAAGGGGGTCGCCGGGGCTAGGCACAAGGAGTTAATGGGGGTTTGAGAGACCCTAATAACCCTAAGCCCTAAACCTTCAGCCCTAAGCCCTAGCCTTAAACCCTAAACCCTAAACCCTAATTTCCCTTTGGCATGGAGACATGCGCTCTGCCTGCGCTCGGCGTGTTGGCAAGTCGGGGCAGAGGCAGTGGTTCCATGCTATTGGTTTGGCTTATGGTTTAGGGTTTGGGGTTTAGGGCTTGGGGTTTAGGGTTTAGGGTTTATAGGATTTAGGGTTTAGTGGCCACAACAGCTCCTCGTCCCAAACAGAAACCAGAGGCCCTTCACAACGACAAGTCTATGTATCATTTCTCTTAGTTCTAAGGGGGCAGTGTCCCCCTAGTCCCTAAACCCTAAATCCCAAACCCTGAACCCCTAAGCCCTTCCACCAAAGGCCCAAGCAATGGCCTGAGCCTGGCTCGCTGCCCGCGGATACGGCCCACCGCCCAGTGTCGGTCAGAGGTTGAGGGCGCTCAGGGTTTTTAGGTCCCTAAGCCTCTTTAAGGGTTCAGATGCATGGCCCTTTGGGTTGTATGGGGTATATAAGGGGTGTATAAGGGGCTCGGGACGCATAAGGGACCACGAAACTACTCTAAGGGTTTCAGGGTTGGGTTGCTCAGGGGTTTGGGATGTTTAAAGAAGGTTGGGAGGAATGCAAGGTGGTTGTAACATTGTAGCATCTTGTAGCTGCATGGGTCAGTCCACGCTGCTCGCTTCTCAGACTAAGAAGTGCCGAAACAACCCTAAACCCTGAAAGGGGTGACCTAGTGAGTCGCGAGGTGGGTCGGATGTGGTTTTCGTCCCGAAGACCTCCTAAAATCATGAAACCCTAAGCTGAGAGGGTTTGGTGTCAATCGCTTCAAACACTGCCGCCCCCCGCCCTTAAAAGAAAGACCTATACCCGAATCCTCCTGCCCTAAACCCTAAACCCTAAACACCCCCCTCCCCCCCCCCCCCCCCCCCCCCCCCCCCCCCCCACAACAAGAACAAGGAATCTTTCAAGCGGGCTGTGGACTGAACCCTAAACCCTAAACCCTAAACCCAAAACCTAAACCCTCTAAACCCTAACCCTAAAACCTAAACCGAAACCCTAAACCCTTAAACCTAAACCCGAAACCTAAACCCTAAACTAAAACCCTAAAAAAATGCCCCCACCCCCTCACCCCCCCCCCCCCCCCCCCCCACCCCAACAAGAAGGAATCTTTCAAGCGGGCTGTGGGGAACCCACCCTAAACCCTAAACCGAAACCCGTAAACCCTAAACCCTAAACCCTAAACCTCTAAACCCTAAACCCTAAACCTAAACCCTAACCCTAAACCCTAAACCCTAAACCTAAAACCCCTAAACCCTAAACCCTAAACCCTAAACCCTAAAACCTAAACGAAACCTAAACCCAAACCTAAACCTAAACACCTAAACCCTAAACCAAAACCCTAAACCCTAAACCCTAAACCCTAAAACCTACCCCTCCCCCCCCCCCCCCCCCCCCCCCCCCCCACACACAAGAAGAAGGAATCTTTCAAGCGGGCTGTTGGACTGGGGAGGTGCCACCCGTGCGCCAGAAGATCGAGGTGGAGCGAGCAGGGGTGCCCAAGGATGCTAAAGTTGTTGGGTTTAGGGTTTAGGGTTTAGGGTTTTGGGTTTTGGGTTTTGGGGTTTTCAGGTTGGTGCGCAGCCCAAGGCGATCCTCAACCCATGTAGACCCTTGAGCCATTCTAAGCCCCATTGAAACACCTAAACTCGGGGGCCCCTTGAACCTCAAAAACCCGAAACACTGAGCCCTCGAAACCACCAAGGCTAACCGAAAGTCCCGGCGCCAGCGGATGCTCGAGGACTGCGGCTTCAATGGTTTTGTAGGGTTCGAAAAATTTGAAGATAGGTCCATAAAGTAGCCCCCTATGATAGGCGTCGATAGACCCCTATAGAGACCCCTGTGGTTTTGGGATAGGGTCCTATTCCCTGAGCCTTATCCGTCCGTGGTGGAACCCTATACATAGGCCCTACCCGTTTCGGCATTAGACCCCTATGCATAGGCCCCCTTCCTTTTGCCATAGACCCCTATGCATAGACCCTATCCCTACTTATACCACCCCCCGATGCGGCATAGACCCCTATCCCTTTTCCATAGGCCCCTACCCCCCCTCCGGATAGACCCTACCCACAAACCCATAGACCCCTATGGTAACACATGTACCACTTGTGCTCGAGCGAGAGTTTAGGGTTTAGGGTTTTTGCAGGGCTTTTGGGGGGTTTTTGTAGCTTAGGGGTTTTTAGGGTTTAGGGTTTTTTGTTCAGACACTTATGTAAACCTGTAAAAATCAGGGGAACCCCATCACGCCCCAATAAGCAAAGCAATGCATCTATCCTAAAGACTCTACCTTAGCTAAGATATCTCATGCAACCATCCCCCGATAAGCAAAACCTGAATTCCATCATTCAACGATATAGTTTGTTTATATTTTGACTCCCAGGAAGTAGTGAAAGTGGCGAGCTCTGCGGATATGTTTATATGACAAGGGTATGACTTGTTGATTTATACACACTTATGTAAACCTATAAATGTGGGGAGCCGCCCCAATAAGCAAACCAAAACAGCTATCCTAAAGACTTTACCTTAGCTAAGATATCTCAAGCAACCATCCCCCGATAAGCAAAACCTGAATTTTATCATATCGCGACATAGCTTGTTTATTTTTGAATCCCAGGAAGCAGTGAAAGGACATTCGCTCACAGTATTCTCGCGTCCCCGGGACGCAAGCCCTACAAACATCGGCATAACCCTGCGGGGATTAAGGTTTAAAGGATGTAAGCCTCAGGCCTTAAGGTCTGGCCATGTATACCTTCAGCGCCATTTAGGGTTAAAACCTTTGAACCTTTCAGAGCCCTATCGGCTTTTAGGGTTCTGACCCTAAACGGTTCAAGGTTAAGGTTTTAATGCCCGAACCTTCAACCTTTAAGGTTAAAACTCTACGGGTTTAGGTTTAAAACTTACAATGCCTAAATTTTAAACCCTAACCCCTTAAATCCTTAACTCTTTAAGGCTTCAAGGTTAGGGTTTAGGTTTCATTGCGGGCTTACGTTTAAATGCCTCAATCTTAAACCTAAACCTGTCAACCTTAACCCTATAGGGTTGGGGTGCCTACATCATCATCGACTTGTTGCTGTGGTTATAACTGTAGTTTAGGGTTTGAATTGTATACATTTATGTAAACCGATAAAAAATGGGGAACCGCAATAGGCGGACGCCCATTTATATTTATATTTATATTTATGTTTATATTTATTTGTATTTGTACTTGTATTTCTAATGAGATTTAAGTTGATTTTTATATTGATATTTGTATTTAGTTTTTTCAATTCTATTTGTATTTATATTCATATTGAAATATTTACGTATACGGCTTCGGGTACTTGCGGGGGTGGAGAGGGCTGAGGGATGCCCCCGCGCAGGAGCAGGAGAGGCTAGAGCGAGGCGAGACCATCGAGGCGGGCTGTTCTCTTTTTCTGAGAGGGGACTGCCTAGGGCCGAGGGTTTAGGGTTTAGGGTTTAGGGTTTAGGGTTTAGGGTTTAGGGTTTAGGGTTTAGGGTTTAGGGTTTAGGGTTTAGGGTCTAGTCTGGGGTTTGGAAGGGGGGGGTGGGGGCAACTCCGGGGTAGCCACCTTTTATGCCCCAAGTCTGAAACCCCCCATCTAAAGCAATTAGGAAGGCACACAGTCGCAGCTGGTGATGTGCTTGCGCATGTACCAAAGAAGCAGAGGCGAAGCCGTAGCCTGAAACACGTGAGAGGGTTTAGGGTTTAGGGTTTAGGGTTTAGGGTTTAGGGTTTAGGGTTTAGGGTTTAGGGTTTAGGGTTTAGGGTTTAGGGTTTAGGGTTTAGGGTTTAGGGTTTAGGGTTTAGGGTTGAAACACGTGAGCCCAAGGAAGAAGAGGAGGAGGAAGACGAAGAAGACTACGAGGACGAGGAGGCAGCAGTCGCATGACATGATATTGCATGTTGCCGTCGGAGCCCCACGCCTCCGAAACCTGATGACTATGCCTCCAAGCCCTGACCTCAGCCCTTCTGAGCCTCCATGCCCTGTAAGGCCCGAAACCCTAAACCCCAAACCCGAAACCCTAAAATTTAAACCCGAATCCCTAAACCCTAAACCCTAAACCCTAAACCCTAAACCCTAAACCCTAAACCCTAAACCCTAAACCCTAAACCCTAAACCCTAAACCCTAAACCCTAAACCCTAAACCCTAAACCCTAAACCTTACCCCGAAAGCCAGGAGGAGGTCCAGGAGGCTGAGGAGGTCGTGGAAGCGGCTGCTGAGGTGGGCCCCCCCTCTTTCAACGCCTCCCAAATCCAAACCCGAAGCAGGCATCTCCACCCAGGACCCCCCGTACCTGTTTGAGCCCTAAACCCTATAAACCCTATAAACCCTATAAACCCTATAAACCCTATAAACCCTATAAACCCTATAAACCCTATAATCCCTATAAACCCTATAAACCCTATAAACCCTAAATCCTAAACCCTAAACCCTACCCTTTTAGCTCCGCAGTCCTGAGAGGAAAGGCGGGCGCCGCTTGAGGGTGAGTGTGCGTGGGCCTTCAGGTCAAGACACTTTAGGGTTTAGACTTTCAGGCCCTTTGGGACTCCCAGTCGCTGTGTGTGTGTGTGTGCGCGTGGTGAAGAGGACTGGCGTGAGGCACGCGCCTAAGTAACAGCATCTCGGCTTCCTTGGTAGACGTCATTGCTGGCACTGATGGCTCAGATTTCCGGAGCTTGGAACAGCATGCTGTGCAGGCGGAGCCAACGGCAGGGGCGACGAACTTGCCGACTGCAGAGGAAGCGAAAGCAATGCGCAAGCCCTAGCAGTTGAGAGGTCAGAGCAAGTCTTGGAGCGTGTGACGGTGAGGCACTTCAAGACGTAGTCCAAACCCCAAACCCCAAACCCTAAACCCTCACATTCCCCTGTGCCAGCACAGCGAACAAGAGGTAACCGTAACAGCGCCAACAAATCAAAAGCAACCAACGCCACCCAAAAGCTCAAAAAGGCTTGGAAAGGCCATGGCACTAGCCCTAAACCCAAAACTCCAAAGACCTAAATTCACCAAAACACCCCCCAAAAAGGTGCCAACAAGGCCACAAGAAGGCACAACCAGAGATCCCGAAGCAGAACTTGGAAGCTTCCAAACAAGTCGAAGGTTCCCAAATCACGTCAATAAGGACTCATGATTCTGAAAAAGATAAATGAGAAGCAGAAAGCCAGAAAAGGTCAAAAGTTACCCAAAATGCCAAAAAGCAACTGAAAGATGAGGCCGCCAGGCCCCAAAAGCTACCAAAAATGTCGCCGAAAGGCCCCGCAGCCCCAAATAGGACAAAAGGCACCGTCGTAAGAGCTGCAAGAACAGGTTCTCAGCAAACGGTGATGAACAGTTAAACCCTAAAC